TTTTTATCATGTATTAACACAAAAAAATCTTATTTAATTTATGTTTTATTTTGTTTGTTGATTTTTAAATTGTATATTTATTGTTGAAAGATTCCTGCCATAAAGATAGCCTTGGTTGCTGACATGGCACTAAATAAAAAATACATTACATTACATTACATCCACGTAGGATTAAGGCAGTTCTGAAGGGAAAAGGGGGCCCAACCCACTACTACTGAGGTGTACCTAATAAAGTGGCCGGTGAGTGTAGATTACAGGCTTTGTGAGACCATAATAGTGACGCTGCGTTCATTTCATGTATCATATAATGCTGTTGGGAATGTGTGTAAACAATTAATGATTGTGTAATTTCTCTGCCACTAATATAATTAATTGTTCCCGAACACTCCACCCCAAACAGAAATTGTTTTGCGTTAAGCTGCTGATCTCTCTTAGTGTTTATTTCGCAATGATGGCTAACTGGCTGCACATTATCTCATAATTGTTTTCTGTTGTTAATGCATTCCTTCTCAGCTTTCAATGTGAGTGCATTCAGTCCAGACTGAGAGAAAACAATATAATTGACAGATATTACATAACCCAGAATATTCCTTCACCATTCCATGCACAAAGAGTCGGGCAGCTGGGCTTGTTGGTTGCTCAGTGCTGATTCATCAGTTGATATCTGTGACAGTCACTTATTCACCAGAGTAAAAGAGTGTGACGCTCTCTGTGTGCCTGTGAAAGAGGGAGTGTGTTGTGTGTGACAAGAAGTGATGTGTGTGTGTGTGTGTGTTTGAAACTGTGTGTGACTGCAGGCCAGCTAGTGAAGCAACACTGCTGTCGTAAGAGCAAAGCATACAATGTGGGTCTTCAGATGGAGAGGAAAGAGGAAGGAGATTGAGAGAATGTTGTGACCAAGTGTTGTTTTTTTCAGCACAAATCGGTGGAGCTCAGCAGAATGCGGTCTTGACTTGTGTTTAAGAGTTGGATGTTTTAGTATTATCGCAGGGATACTGCTCAGGGCCTTTGAATGTGTTTTTTTTTTTAGAAATAGGGGCATCACAGGGATGTGAATATTTCATATTTACAGTTGAAGTCAATTATTAGCCCCCCTGTAAATATTTTGCCCCATTTTCTATTTAAGCTAGGGACAGAACTGATTTCTTTTGTATTTGCCATGATGACAGTACATAACATTTTACTAGATTCTAGTATTCAGCTTAAAGTGACATTTAAAAGCTTAACTAGGTTGATTAGGCTTTAAACGGCTTTAAAAAATTAAACACTGCTTTTATTTGAGCGGAAATAAAACAAATAAGAAAATATTATAGGAAATACTGTGAAAAATTCCTTATTCTGTTAAACATCATTTGGGAAATGTTTGAAGAGGAAAAACTAATTACAGGAGGGTGAAACTTGTATATTTTAATTGTATCTGTATATGCATATTCACAATCTTCAACTTTATATGTATGCAAGTTGCATCGATCTGAGAAAAATATGGACTTATGGATTAAGGAATATTTGTAACTAATTTCTTGATTTTTAAATAAATGTAGTTATTAATTTATTTATTCATGAAGTAATTTGTGAGCTGGTGTTTTTGGTGACCACGTAAATAAGAAGCAAAACAGAAACTGTGTTCTAACCAAAATTGCAACAATTTTCTAACACAATGTTCGAACACAAACTTTTTATGCTGTTTAAATATTCATATTAACATAGACAATTCACATATTTTTTTCTTTTTACAGTAAAATAATGTAATTACAATGGTAATATTTGTTTTAGTTTTTCAATTTCTTAAAATAAAATTATATAAAACACTCCATCATTTTTTCAGTTGATATTTTTACAATTAATTGTATAGTATAATTAATCCAATATAAAAATTACAAAAATATTTTTACCATATATTAGTTTTATTTTTTATAATTCAATAAAAATAATTATTTTATTACTTTTTTTGTATTATTATTATTATTATTGTTATTTTTTGATTTTACTGAATGTATTGCTGGTGTTGTAAAGGACCCATTTAGGGGCTAAAAACATTACTTAAAATATTATCCTCCCAGGGCCTGATTGTCCACATACGTGGACGGCACATTTTAGCTCTTAAGTGGCTATTTAAAATACTTTGAATGTTTTATATTTTGTTAGAGTTATACAGTGTCATCTTTCAATTGTTTTGCAGCATATGACATGTATAAAACCCTATTTTTAACTGTCCAAAATGGGGAAAAAAATTTGGTTTTACTCTCTGATAGTCAACGCAAGTTCAAGCAAAAATTTAGACGTTAAATGTGCGTAAAAAAAAACGTAAAAAAACAACTGAAAAAAAATCGGGAAAAAACACATTTATGTAAATTCGGACCACGAGTCCACATATATAGACATAATTTTTCTCTAAAAGCACATCGAATTAAAAGATTATACATGTAAAAACACCTTAGGCCTTAAGATGATATATATATATATATATATATATAGCTGCACGATATTGGAAAAATTTAACATTGCAACATTTTTTTTTATTTTGCGCTATATATTGTAATTTGAATACATATTCACCAGATAACGTGAATATCTCTATTTGGAAAGAATTTATTGATGTTAGAGCGATTGGTTAATTCTGTAGTGGGAATGCATCTAATGAACAATCTATAAATCTTTTGGGGTTCCCTGACACATTTTTGATGTGATCGGTGCTGTTTGCAGTGCACATTTGCATGTGTTGAGTATTTTCATGCAAGCGTTTCATCAGAGGTTGATCAAGTAATGTTTACTATTTGCATATTTTTTCTTCTGGAGAAAGTCTTAGTTTTATTTCAGCTAGAATGAAAGCAGTTTTTAATTTTAAGGACCATATTATTAGCCCCTTTAACTATATTTTTTTCTGATAGTCTACAAAACAAATCATCGTTATACAGTAACTTGCCTAATTACCCTAACCTGCCTATTTAACCTCATTAACCTAGTTAAGCCTTTAAATGTCACTTTAAGCTGTATAGAAGTGTCTTGAAAAATATCTAGTCAAATATTATTTACTGTCATCATGGCAAAGATAAAATAAATCATTTTTAACCCTTAAAGACAGAGACAGCCGCCCGCGGCTAAAAATAAGTATTGCTCTTAAATGTTTAATAAGTGTTGATCCGCTGATCCGATCCATACAATTCAAAGATTGGCATAAAGAAGAGAATCTCAGCTTTCCAGCGCTTTATCACATTACATTCACAGACTTTCAGAGGCTCCGGAATCAGTGCGGTTACGTCATCAAATTTTGACAACGCTGATTTGACAAAGGAACGCTCGTCACTTGTCTCTCCGGACAAACCAGACATGATACATGGATGCATTGTCCCTCCTCCATGCCCAGATTGGTTCAAACTCGCTCTATCTCAACCAATAAGCATAGGTTTCGCTTTGTGAACCAACAATCAGCTATTTGAACAACACGGAATGAGAGATAGGCTGCACATTTAAAAAAAAATTTTTTTGCATGAAATAATTCTCATACTAAGTACCTTTGCATGCACAACAGCACAAAAACATGACAAAACAGTGACACAGCAAAGTCGAAGTGCTGCTCTTGCTGTTTTCAAAGAACGCAAATGAAGGTTGGGCTGTTTGTCTGCATTGCACGCGAACCATATCCATATCCACAGACAACCATATACATGCTGGCACATAAAACCTAAGGATGGTCCATATTGAATCTAGTTTAGTTATGTTACTATTTATAGTAAAGTAAATATTTATATCTATTTTATTTACTGAGGATTTGCACCATGTTTATTTGGACTTTGACGCATTATTTCTTATTTTCTTATTTTCTTATTTTATATTTGTTCATTATAAGTGGTGTTGTTTATGGTAACTAAAAATATATTATTTAGAAAAAGTCAAATTTGCTTCAGTGTTCTGTTATTTTGTAACATTTTTTTCTGTTTAGTTCATTCCCAGAACTTTTGGGCAAATACATTGTCAGTAAATAAATGCATTTTTTTCCCCCCATTGAAAAACGCCTTGGAATAACATTGAAATAAATTGCTATAACTTGCTCAGGGAAAGGTGGATGTAGACAAAATTTATTTTGGAAGTATAAAACATCATAATATGTATTTCTAAAGAAAGAAAAACAAACTTCAAAAGGTTTTGTTTGTAATAACTAGAAAATGCCACTTTTTTTAAAAATCGTTTCTGGAAAATTCTGGAATATTTTCTGTCTGTTCATATGATTTTGGACCAAAAAAAGTTTTAGACTGGACCTTTAAATGATACAGATTGAAACTTCAGGTTCTCCTGTTTAAAATAATATATGACACTTGAGTCTGACTGCTAAAATAAAAATAAAACTGCTTTAAAAAATAATAATAATAATTATAGTCCCATTAGGTGCCCACAAAATACCTCTTGGTCTTTAAGGGTTAAATCAATAAAATTTTTTTTGTTGCAATTATAAAAAAATAAAATCTAAGAACTATCGGATTAAATTCTACTAAAAGAATAGTTGCCATTTTTTACAAAAAAATTTTTGAAACGTTGTTACTGAGACATTGAAATATATATTTTTTATTTTAATACATTGAAAAACTTAAATAAATATTACCATTATAATAACATAATTTTAGTGTAAAAATAAAACTGTAATTATTTTAAGACGTAATTAATATTAATAATATTTGCATTTACAGAACAATAATAAAGTTAAACTGCCAACATTTATAACCATCTAAATTTTTATTATTTCAATTTGTGTATATATATTAATGCTCAAAAAAATCTTAGTAGCTAACAAGTTCCATCATTAATGCGTATCAATTCCAATCACACAAATGTGTTTCAATTTCCAACAAACACCTCAGGAATGTTTGAGTGTGGTCAGATTAGCATGCTGGATTTAAACCACAGCCCAGGAATGTGTGCATCACAGACCAGCCAAAAGCCAGCATTTATACGTCCACCTCGTGATCCTGTCCTCCCTCTGTTTCTCTCTCTTTCTCTGTGAACAGAATTGTTCGTGTGAGGTGTCAGTAAGTAACCGGAGATCGGTCCGTCTGTCTGCATGATGCTGCAGTTTTTGGGTTATTTGACTTTGGGTCAGATTTGACTTGCATGCGGTTAATGTGTGATCACGCACAACTTCCAGAGCTAAAGAGCAACTGCGTTTTTCAAGAGCACGGTTGCAGTAGCGTCCACACGCATAAACACACACTCTTGATTGAAGCTGATTTGGCATGCCAGACAGTTCCACACTTGAGCTGCAGAACAAAGAATGAGTTTGTATGAAATAAGCTGCAGACTCTAATCGCTAACGGTGTTTGTAAACCCTTAGTGCGTGTCTGAGTTTTCAGTGTGATGGACTCAGCAGGTTTTATGATTTAATTATTAGCTTCCGGTTGGGTTAACTAATGTCGACTTCTGGTTTATATTGTCTGTGTGGTGTGCTGAGACTCACAGTGCTAATGATGGAAGATTAATATATGTGTGTGTGTTTGTGTGGAATCTGTCTCACTTTCTGTTTCTCTCTCTTAGGTTCCCCTACAGTTGATAGAATGTGTGGAGTGTCGGGACATGTTTCAACTGCACATCACCTGCAAAGACTGCAAGATCGTCAGGTCTGTCTGCCTGTCTATCTATCTATCTATCTATCTATCTATCTATCTATCTATCTATCTATCTATCTATCTATCTATCTATCTATCTATCTATCTATCTATCTGTCTATCTGTCTATCTGTCCGTCTGTCCGTCCGTCCATCCATCCGTCTATCCGTCTGTCTGTCCTCTATCTATCTATCTATCTATCTATCTATCTATCTATCTATCTATCTATCTGTCTGTCTGTCTGTCTGTCTGTCTGTCTGTCTGTCTGTCTGTCTGTCTGTCTGTCTGTCTGTCTGTCTGTCTGTCTGCCTGCCTATCTATCTATCTATCTATCTATCTATCTATCTATCTATCTATCTATCTATCTATCTATCTATCTATCTATCTATCTATCTATCTATCTATCTATCTATCTATCTATCTATCTATCTATCTATCTATCTATCTATCTATCTATCTATCTAGCCGTCCGTCCGTCCGCTATCTGTCCGTCCGTCCGTCCGTCCGTCCGTCCGTCCGTCCGTCCGTCCGTCCGTCCGTCCGTCTATCTATTGCACCATGGTTCTATTCTTCTCTCTATGCGTCCTTCCCTTTTCTTTATATGTCCGTCTGTCAATACATCCATCTATCCATCTATACATCCGTCTGTCTTGTTTTTGTCTGTCTGTCTGTCTGTTTGTCTGTCTGTCTATACGTTTATTGTTCTATCTAGCATTCTATTTTTCTATCTATTGTTATATTATTCTATTTTTTCCTTCTATCATTCTATCTGTCTGTCTGTTATTCTATGTTATTGTTCTTTCATTCAAACCATCGTTTTATGAATTTATCTATGTTTTACTGTTCTATCATATCGTTCTATCTTTCTGTCGTTCTGTTTTTCTGTCATTCTTTCTATCGTTCTTTCCATCATTCTGTCTTTCTATCATTAAATAATTTTATCTATCTTTAATGCATTCCATCCATCCATTCATCCATCCATCCGTTTCATCCATTCTATCCATCTATCGTTCGATCTGTCTATATATCATTCTGTCTATTTATCGTCCTGTCACTCTTTTAAATTTTTCTAACGTTTAGTTGTTCTATCTATCATTCTATCGTTCTATTGTTTAATCATTCTATCGTTCAATCGTTCTATTTATGTCGTTCAATCGTTTTATTGTTCAATCATACTATTTATGTTGTTCATCCATTCTATTTATCGCTCAGTTGTTTTATTTGTCGTTCAATCGTTCTATATATGTTCAATCATTCTATCTATATCAATAATAATTATCAATAATTCTATTTATGTTGTTTAACTGTTCTATCTATCGTTCTATTCTTCAATCGTTCTATGTTGTTCATTCGTTCTATCTATTGTTCAATTTAAGTCAGTCAATCTTTCTTTCTATCATTGAATTGTTCTATTGTTCAATCATTCTATTTATGTTGTTCAGTCGTTCAATTGTTCTATTATTCAATTATTGTATTTATGTTGTTCAATCGTTCTATGGTTCAATTGTTCAATCATTCTATTTATATTGTTCAATTGTTCTATTGTTCAATCATTCTATTTATATTGTTCAATTGTTCTATCATTCAATCATTCTGTTTAAATTGTTTGATCATTCTATCATTCAATTGTTCTATCATTCAATCATTCTATTTTTTATTGTTTGATCGTTCTATCATTCAATTGTTCTATTGTTCAATCATTCTATTTATGTTGTTCAATCGTTCTATCGATCAATTTTTCTATTGTTCAATCATTCTATATATATATTGTTCAATTGTTCTATTGTTTAATCGTTCAATTGTTTTATTGTTCAATCATTCTATTTATGTTGTTCAATCGTTCTATCGATCAATTGTTCTATTGTTCAATCATTCTATATATATTGTTCAATAGTTCAATTGTTCTATTGTTTAATCGTTCAATTGTTTTATTGTTCAATCATTCTATTTATGTTGTTCAATCGTTCTATCGATCAATTGTTCTATTGTTCAATCATTCTATATATATTGTTCAATCGTTCAATTGTTCTATTGTTCAATAATTCTATTTATATTGTTCAGTCGTTCAATTGTTTTATTGTTCGATCATTCTATTTATGTTGTTCAATCGTTCTAGCTATCGTTCAATCATCCCATTTTTGTTGTTCTATCATTATATTTTTCGTTCAATCGTTCTATTGTTCTATCGTTCACATGTTATATCTTTGTCTTAGATTTTTTCTGTCTTTCAATCATTTTATTGTTCAATCGTTGTATTGGCCATCTCTCTTTTGTTTTATTATTCCATCTATGCATCTGTCCAGTTGATATCTTAATTGACATAAATGCTTACTTTTAATGAACCAAGGATTTTGTGTAAGTTGCTGGTTTTTGCAGCTAATCCGTTGTGTTTAGCTGTTTGTGTAAATTGTTTCAAGAAATGCACATACTCCTTGCAAATATAATTGATGATTGGAAAAGTGACTGAGAAAAATTGTAATGTGTGTTTTGTTTAATGCAGGTGTCAGTTTTCCACATTTGAGCAGTGTCAGGAGTGGCTGAAGAGGTTGACCGCCGCGGTCCGTCCCCCGTCCCGAATAGAGGAGCTCTTTTCCTTTGCCTTCCATGCGTGGTGTGTAGATCTTTACACAGGAGAGAAGGAGCAGCATGGAGATCTGTGTCGGCCAGGTACTGTCTGATGTCTGGTCAAACCTTGTCCGTGGGCTTCAGACTGACATTTAGATCCCTCATGAATACTTTTATCTCAGTTTTTTATTGCATAGCCAACTCCTAGTGAGCTTGACACTCTTGAAAGATAGACTTAGGCTACCGGTGTGTGTTTGTTTAATGTGTATTTATATAGCGCATTTATAGTGTATGGTCGTACACCCAAAGTTCTTTACAATTATGAGGGGAGGAGTGGGGGCTTTTCACACCCCCACCAGTGTGCAGCATCCACTCGGATGATGCGACAGCAGCCACAAAAAAAAACTACTCCAATTTGGGGATGATTGTTAAGATAATGATTAAGAGCTGATGGGGGGGAATTGGCCGGGATATGGCTTACACCCCTACTCTTTACGAGAAGTGCCATGGGATGTTTAATGACCGTGGAATCAAGACAACATTTTAGTGTCTCATCCGAAAGACGGCGCTCATTGACAGTATAGAGTCCCCTTCACTATACTAGGGCATTAGGAATCACATAGACCGCAGGTTGAGCGCCCCTGCCAGCCTCACAAAACTTTCACTCTCAGTGAAATTGAATCAAATGAAACTACATTTTGACTGGTAGTGTATATATTTAAATTAATTGTTCTTCCTTTCCTGCAGGAATAGAGTGGAGAAACTATGACGTCACTTTGTAGGCTAATCAGCTGCTAGCATAAAACTGGTTCCCTCGTGAAAATCCCTATAGGATTTTCCCATAGGCTTTTCGAAGATTGCAAATAATAAGCTCTGTGTTCAAACACAGTTCATTACACTTACACGTTTTGTCCAGCCGGATAATCCTCACACGAAAATACAACTTGGAGCACTTTTGGATCTTAAATGCAAACGCAAGAGTTAAAAAGCTAACATTAGGCTATAAACGGACTACAGTGCCCTCGGGGCGCTCGCCTGTGACGTCAGCCCCACCCTGCTACAGACAACTTATCAAGCTTATTTTTAGAAATAATGTCCATGACAAAGAGTTAATCTCTCTGTTAATTATATTATAATCCACGCTATATATTATAAACAAATAAATATGCAAAAAAAACATAGACCTATATGCCTTTTGGATAGTTTTACGTGGGAAATACATCTGTTTTGCTTTGCGGTTGTTCTAAAAGTTTTAAAACTGCATGTATAAATATGCCTATATAGTATTTTCATCAGACATATTTTAATAAGTGTATCGCTCGCGCACACAGCCTGCTTACCATAATAGATGACAGAAATGAGGCGTGAGGAGGAACAAGTCTATCAAATGGCTGCAAGTTCCATCATCATGGACACAGAGCAACATTCAATATTCCTTTTATGTCACGACGTACAGCGAAAAGCAGCTCATACCGTCACATCTGCTATACGTTTTATCGAGGAGTGTAAATATTGCAGTTATGACTGAATAAAATGTGTTCAGATGAAGAAAAAAAGACGAAAAATCACTTGATCACGTTAAAATGACAGTTAATATGTCTGTATTTTTACACATTTATACACACGTTTGCATTACTGAGAGCAGGACAGAGACAGGCTGCACTGGTGAGCAGTATCTTTATAATATCGTTTAATTAAAATAAATGATCAACAAATGAATCTGTCCCGACAGCCTTTACATGTGAAGGCATTATTTATACACAATCTGAATTCTCAATTAGAAAAACACAAAAAACTATAAAATACTATTCATGAAAATACCTAAATAACAGACAAATCCAAATGCCCAACACAAGCGAGCTGCGCTCCAGACCAGATCAGCTCGATGACGTTTAATGTCTCCGACACCGCCTGTAGTTCCATTTAGCATCTTCATAGCAGCCGTCTTTTTAAAGAAGCATGGCCGAATTAAAAATTCAAGAGTGTGCTGTAATTGATGTGTTTTATGTCGTAGAACAAAATGTGAAAATATCTTGAATTTGTGTTTGCCACGGACCTTATTTAAGCGATTTTACTAAAACCCCATTCAAAAAACCCACTGACTTTTTGACGAGGGAACCGGAAGTGCTAAAATGCTAACTCGCTTCCGGGATTTTGCATACAAATTGACGTCATAGTTCCTCCACTCTATGATCATGCTCTCTCTGTCTTTCAGGTGATCACGTGATGTCCCGTTTCCATAATGAAGTAGAGCGGATGGGCTTCGACACTCAAAACGCCTGGAGGGTCTCTGAGATCAACAATAAGTACAAGTGAGTGTTTCTCTTTCAAACACAAGCGCTCTGTGACTAAACCAGCAGTTCCCAATCCTGGTCTTCGCAGCTCCCTGCTATGCATATTTTGCATGTTTCTCTTACTGCTTCAGAGGTTTGTTCCATTTCACCGTAAGTGCCTTGTGGAGTGCACATCACAGGTTATTCTGCCATGATTCCAGTTTGAATGCTTGTTCAATTCGAAGGGTAACAACTTCTATGATTACCACATGATTACAGTTAACTAAACCTTCATGCTTCTGCAATAATTGAAAATGCAAATAATGCAAGTATTATAATTATTTTATTTTAATAAAATGAAGTGAATTTTAAGATCAGCCGATTTGCTGTGTGGAGTCGGTAGAGAGCAACTAACACTGTGTATTAGGGCTGAATGATTGATCGAAATTGAAATAGAATCGCAGTCTCGGTGTATTTGATAATTGACTAATATACCAAGCCTTATTCCCGCGGATTGGCAGAGCTCCGTGTTTTACTGCATGCACAAGAGATGAAGGAAGAACTGACACACATGTAAATGTTCAAACATTTTAAAAAAATCTAAATATTAAAAAATTTCAAGGATTTAACGTGCTGATGATGCTGTTAACGCTTTAACCACCATTTAACCATAATCATTACCAACAATATATTTTTAGAATAGTCTAAGACTTCTGAATGCATATATTACCACATTTTTGTTTTGTTTTGTTATGTTGTGTTATGGTATGTTGGAAGAGTAATAGATTTAAACACATTTAGGGCTCTATTTTGACGGTCCATGCGCAGAGCGCAAAACGCAGGGTGCAAACGCTTTCAGGGCGTGTCAGGACGCGTTTTTGCTAATTTAAGGACGGGAAATCTGCCTTGCGCTTTGGCGCATGGTCTAAAAGGGTTGAGTTTATTTTCTTAATGAGTCATAGGTGTGTTTTGAGAATAAACCAATTAGAGTCTCATCTCCCATTCCCTTTAAGACCCAGCTGCGTCGCGCCAAGAGCGCATTCGCTATTTACAGGACGTAAAGTAAGTCTAAGTGGAAAAAATGAGCATTTCACAAGCAAACAGTTAGCAGTTGACAGTTTTTTAACAGAAAACTGTTAAACAGAGCATCTACTGCGTGAGAATGAGAGATAATGGAACTACTTTCACATTCGCTCTTGGATAGGGAAACTTTTACGCACAGACATCAATTAGCCTATAAATAATTAATTTCATTTGTTAAGCGCAAAGATTTGTTTCAAAACTATTTCTAAATTCAGTTCTAATTTCCAGCAAACGAATAAATGAATAATAATAACAAAGTTTGGTCAAAATACTGAGTTATTTCCAAATACACCTACTATGCCCCATATGGTCTAAAACCTGACAGGTGGGCAAATCTAAGCTTGTTTTTAATGAAACAAATATAAATATGGATATAATAAATAATACTGCTAATAATAATAACATTATACAAAAGTAACTTGAATGAACTGAAAAAGCCTCCCGAGATGAAGGAAGTATGAAGGCAGTGGTTTTTAAATTCATGTAGGCTAGAAATTAATATGTTTTGTAATATTTTAATCCTTTATATTTATATACTATATATATATCCTTAATATATTATATCTTTTTCATATGTAAAGATATTTGCGTATTGCATCTTGTGTGTAGTGTGTAAGCCTGGCACACTTTGCGCCAGACAATAGACCGACTTGTTCTGGTCTAAAGATCAGACTATTTACAGTTTATCAAAATAGTAACGCGCCAAAACACGCCTGCTTTTTTAGACCAGAACGCCTATGGGCGCACATTTGAGCGCAAATGCATTTGCTATTTAAACAGCGTGGCGCAACGCCTCAAAATGACCCTTGCGCCAAGCTTAAAGTAGTAAAAGACTATTGCGCTGCGCCTTGCGCCCCATTGCGCCGGGTGTAAGATAGGGCCCTTAATGTCATCCTACAGCCTGTGGGACCTTTTACGGTTACATTTTTTAACTGTAATAGTGTAGTCTAAACCTAAAGCAATCATGACTAACCGTATATAATTAAAAAGCTTAAAATTCAGATTTTCCATATATGGTGATGGATTTTTCATAGATATTACTGAGCAAAAGGTATTTATTCATTTGCAACACGGATACTCATCCGAGTCGTAAAGCATTACTTTGCTACAGCTATCCACATGTAAAACTAAGTTTAAATGTTTTTAGACGCTAAATTTAAATTATATGCTGCTGAACTGCCCATACTACTTTAGAGTTGTTTGTCTACTTTACAAATACTGTCAAAAGTATGAAAAATAAAAATATTCCTCATAACATAGGGGGCGCCCTTGTATGGTCATCAATGTAAACTGAATGTCGTCTGGTGGTCATGTTTGGAACTGCTGCCACACAGAATCGTACTGAAAGCTCATTTTTTGAGATATCAGCTTCAGATTTGGAATATAATTTTTCAGATGTTAAGCTTTGATTTATATGTCAATTTTAGGCTAAAACATGTTTTGCAAAATAAAAATGTTCATTCATTCATTCATTTTCTTGTCGGCTTAGTCCCTTTACTAATCCGGGGTCACCACAGAGGAATGAACCGCCAACTTATCCAGCAAGTTTTGCCCTTCCAGCCGCAACCCATCTCTGGGAAACATCCACACACACATTCGCACACACACACATACACTACGGACAATTTAGCTTACTCAATTCACCTGTACCACATGTCTTTGGACTGTGGGGGAAACCGGAGCACCCGGAGGAAAGGAGAACATGCAAACTCCACACAGAAACGCCAACTGAGCCGAGGTTCGAACCAGTGACCCAGTGACCTTCTTGCTGTGAGGCGATAGCACTACCTACTGCGCCACTGCCTCACCAATACAAATGTTATGTAATATAATATAAAGGCACATAACTTTCATTTTATTTTACTTCTTGAACTGTTTTCACTTCAGCTACAATCTGACATCTGTTGTCTTTAAAACAAGACCAAGCTTAAATCTATGCATCAAAATCTTGAAGACTGACATTCATTAAGCGGAACATGTCATTTCCATGTCTATGTTCAAATAATTGGGGTGACACTTAAAGGGTTAAACGCGTCATAACAGTCTTGTGAAAAGGGTCCTTTGGATCAGGGGTGGCCATGAGGACCAGTATTGAGAAACCAATGTTTTAAACCATCCTATACACTCAACCCTGTTCTACTCAGTGTAGAGATGACTGTAGACAGGCATCAGTCAGTCCAGTGTCCTGCTCTGACCTCACCGTGTCCTCTTCTCGCCCTCTGCTCTGCCAGGTTGTGTTCCAGCTATCCTCAGCTGCTGCTGGTGCCAGCCTGGATTACTGATAAGGAGCTGGAGAATGTGGCGGCCTTTCGCTCCTGGAAGAGGATTCCAGCCGTGGTTTACAGGTTAGTCATTTAAATCTGATCATTAAATGCGGGGAGAATGAACTGTGCACTTGATGCACTTTTGACTTGGTATTTAGGGTGTTGCTCTACTCAAATGTGCAAATAGCATCTTTTTATTACTATCATATTGTCTGCTTTTTTAAAAATATTGCATGTGTTTGTAGTTTAACTGCTCTGAGTAGCTTTTACTTTAAGGGTTTTTTTAACACCTGTTTTACTTAGTTTTCCCTCATGGTGCAGTTCTTTGAACAGGTGTGAATGTAGCAATCGCAGTCAAGTTCTTCTTGAAGCAGTGGTCTTGGTATGCTTTCAAACGAACCCCAGAGTGGGTTGTTTGTGGTGAAAACAGGATCTGAACTATAAAAGACCCAACCAGAAAATGTTTGTTGACAGCGCTTTACCAACAATTTTAAACAGAAAGAGAGAGGGAAAAACATTACCTGATGGATCGTTAGTAATCTTTCCGGAAGATGACCATGTCGCAGTTTAGCTGGATTAATTCACGCCTCCTCCTGAAGTGACGTGTGGCAGCTGCTAAAGCTGCTCTAAAACAAGCTGTGAACAAATGTCAAACTTCTCCATCAGAGATGAGACCTTTTATTAACAATTATATTTTAAACAAATGGCAAGAGGAGTGGGATACTCTGGAAAACAATAAATTAAACGAAATCCAACCTGAAATTACACACAGAGGTGTAAGACATTTTAAGAAACGAGCTGATCAAGTAATTTTTACCAGATGTCGTATTGGACATACAAGATTAACACATAACTTTTTACTCAAAGATGAAGACCCTATCCAATGTTTGCACTGTATAACCCCATAGACAGTAAAACACATTTTATTGGACTGCCCTGCCCTGCTTTTAATCACTCCAGAAAGACTTTTTATGATGAGAACTCTCTTAAGGACATTTTTAACAAAGTGACACCAGAAAAAGTATTAGAATTTTTAACATGTATTAACCAGAAAAATATTATTTAAACTGTATATTCAATTATTTATTTTTTACTGTTGATGTTTGTTAATTACTGAAATGCTCTTGCCATGAAAGTAGCCTTAGTAGCTGACATGGCAATAAATAAATAATGAATGAAGTGACGTTTGATGCGCCTTCGCCGTTTGCAATGCTTTAAAACATTGTTTTCCAGCCGCACTTCATTCTCAAAATGTATAGTTTGTCTTAAGTAATGTATACAAACTATATAGTATACGTTATTATGACCAGGGATACAGTTAGCCAGCGCAGTCGTCCCTCCATGGTAAAAAACAACAATTTGTGCCGGTTTATTTACTTGCGGGAGTTTAATTGGCATTTTCCCACACGTTAATTCTGACCAATCAAAAAGCAGTTTAGGAAATACGTTCAATAACATTTAGCCAATGAGTGATGTGGATTTTGTCACATGACTGCATTTTTTGATCTTTTCAACTTTTTGACGTTGATCCGGACCAAATGAACCGAACCACAGATGTGAAAGCACCTTAAGGGTTTGGTTTGGTTAAATGAACTAGAGTTCGTTTTCCCTCTTGGTGCGGTTCGTTTGAGCAGATGTGAATGTAGCAATCGTATTCGAGCGAGCACCAGAAGTGGACCAATAAAGTGTACCGAGACCACGAACCCTGGAGCGGTTCGTTTGTGGTGAGAATATGATCTGAACTAAAACAGACCCAACCGCAAAAAGTACTGCACCTTTTTGGACTAATCTAGCTGCCGTAGTCTGATGCACTGTACAATCTTATGGGGTGTGGAGGAAAGATATTTGTTGACAGCGCTTTACAAACAGTTTTAAACCGAGAGAGAGGAAAAAACCTTACCTGATGGATCATTGGTAATATTTACGGAAGTTGACCATGTCGCAGTTTAGCTAAATTAATTCCTGCCTCCTCCTGAAGTGAATGCCCATGCGTTTGCAATGCATTGTTTTCCAGCCGCAGCCGCACTTGATTCTTAAAATGTATAGTTTGTCAAAAGTGATGTATAAAAACTATATAGTATACATTACTATGACCAGGAATACAGTCAGCCAGCGCAGTTGTCCCTCCATAGTAAAAAGCGACATTTTGTGCCGGTTTACTTACTTGCGGAAGTTTCATTGGCATTTTCCCACACGTTAATTCTGACCATTCAAAAAGCAGTTTATGAAAAACGTTCAATAACATTTAGCCAATGAGTGATGTGGATTTTGTCACATGACTGCAATTTGGTTTTTTTCAACTGGTTCGGACCAAAGTAATCAGTGTGGTGTGAAAAGGACCCAAAAACGGCAGAAAAATGCTACAATGTACCTGCCTTGTTTAGTTTGAAGAATAGAGTTTGTTTTCCCTCTTGGTGCAGTTCATTTGGCCGGGTGTGAATGCAGCAGTCGTAGTCGAGTGCGCACCAAAAGTGGACCAAAAAAGCGTACCGAGACCTCCTTGAAGAGGTGGTCTTGGTACGCTTTCAAACGAACCCTGGAGCGGTTCGTTTGTGGTGAGAATATGATCCCAACTAAAACAGAAACAGCGGCAAAACGTACTGCACCTTTTGTGTCTAATCTAGCTGCCATAGTCCGATGCGCTGTCCAATCTTAGGGGGTGTGGAGGAAAAATATTTGTTGACAGCGCTTTACAAACAGTTTTAAACAGAGAGAGGGAAAAAACATTACCTGATGGATCATTGGTAATATTTCCGGAAGTTGACCATGTCGCAGTTTAGCTAAATTAATTCACACCTCCTCCTGAAGTGAATTCCCTTGCGCCTTCGCTGTTTGCAATGTATTAAAGATTGTTTGTAGCCGCAGCCGCTCTTCATTCTCGAAGTGTATGGTTTGTCTAAAGTGATGTATACAAACTATGTAGCATTTGTTACTATTTCCAGGGATACAATCAGCCAGCGCAGTTGTCCCTCCATGGTAAAAAGCCACATTTTGGGTCTGCCACTTTGTTAACTTGCGGGAGTTTCATTGGCATTTTCCCACAAGTTTTTTCTGACCAATCGAAAAGCAGTTTAGAAAATACGTTCAATAACGTCTGGCCAATGAGTAATGTGGATTTTGTCACATGACTGCAGTTTCATTTCAGCTGCATGTTCAGGGAAAAAATTTAGTGTTGTTTTTATTTAACATTTTCCATACTTTAGATGAGATGTCCAGCACGTGAACCTCTTTATTTTCCAGGCATCAGAGCACCGGGGCAGTGATCGCTCGCTGTGGTCAACCTGAAGTCAGCTGGTGGGGCTGGAGGAACGCAGACGATGAGCATCTGGTGCAGTCCATCGCCAGAGCCTGCGCCGTTGACAGCAGCTCCTGTAAAGGTGTCTCTAATGGTTCCCTGTCCCGCGAGTACACTAATGGAGCCGACCTCTCAGATGTGGACTTCGGTCAGTACTGTTTAGTCATTGGCTGCATTTAAAGGAATAGTTCACCAAAAAATGAAATTTAACTCACTATTTGCTCACCTTGAAGTGGTTTTAAACCTTGTTAAATATCTTTCTGCTGTTGAACACAAGAGAAGATACTGCTGGAAACCTGTAATCATTGACCTCCACAGTAGGAAAAACAAATACTATGGAAGTCAATGGTTTTTAGCATTCTTCAAAATATCTTCTTTTGTGTTAAACAGAAGAAAGATACTCATACTGGTTTGAAACAAGTAAAGAAAAAGTTTTAGATGAAATGTCCCTTTAATTGTTCACAGATCTCAATAGTAGTTGCAGATCACGGTATTGATTAAAACACACACACACACACACACACACACACACACACACACACACACACAAACACACAAACACACACACACACACACACACAATGTTAATCCTAAAAGATCACACTTTGCATATGCCGTGTCACTTGATTTTTTTGCAGATTTCAGTCGCAGTTGATTCAAACAAACACACATTGTTAATCTTAAATGATCACATTTTGCATATGCTTATTAAACCTTTGGCTATCAGAGTGCAAATCTGTGTTTGAATAGGAGAGAGCAGTCGTGTACGGGTAATAAACCACTGCAGGCTTTAGTCCTTTCAACCAGTTTTATTATTTCTGGGTTATAATGATAAAGATGATCAAGATTTGTATTATTGTATCATTGGTGCTAGCACATCAGTTGATATCTGTTTTTTATGATCATAAACAATAATGCTATTATTCAATATGTATATACAGGGTGCCGGGAGTCTCAAAACGTTTTGAAATGTCTTGTATTTCAAAAACAAAACTTTAAAAGTCATTGACTAACATATTGTGTTGTGAGTCTTAAATCGTTTATAAACAGGTTTTAATTTTCTGATGTCCATGTAAGGCAAACATTCATCCAATCACCTACAATCCATCTCCATAAAACTTTGAACAAAACTCTATTCATAACTCTATTTATTTTGACACTTTATTTAAAATATGTGGCTAAGAAATAACAAATTTTAAATTTTTTAATGAAATAAAAAAATTTTTTGCTGGCATTTCAAAATAATCCTTAGCATTGAGCCCAGAATAAGTCTGAAATGTAATTCATAATGGTCTTAAAGGTCCCGTGAAGTACTTTGAAATATGCATTTTTATTTGTTGTTTGATCCATTTAGGCGGAAGTGACAAACTACAAGCTTTACATGTTTATATCAGTTGTATATCCTCTAAATGCAAATTTTGTCACTGTTTTGGAGCACACTAGCTTATAGATATCTTAAAAACTAGCAATACTGATACTAACATCTAAAAAACTTGATTTTAATTTCATGGGACCTTTAAGAATGTGTAGGGGGCTTTCACACCTGTAGATCGATTGTTTTTCCCAAAACAGGGATTAAAACAATGTTGCACTTTGTTCTTGGTGTAGTTGGCTTTCACACAGCAAATTTTAAACAGAATAGCTAAAACAAGTCATGTGCGAGCTGCACTTTAATTTTGAATGGTGACACCCACAGACATCTTTACCAAATAGCTATAAATCTCAGGTGGGATAGAATTAGGCATTACAGGCTTTACATTATAGAGAGAATGGAGAAAAATAACAGATAGACCAAGACTGAAATTCAGTCAATTTTCCTGGCAAATAAACATCTTTCGTTAATATTTCAGCATGCTTTCACTTTCGTATTTGACATGAAACACACATTTACCGGTTGGAGTGACATCCTGCCCTACTCATAATTCTCTCTTCATATAGCCGTATACAGTATATGCCTATTACATATCCATAATACTCTGTGATATACTGTAGCCTGGTTCGGTTCGTGTGGCTTTCTCACTACAATCTATCCGCTCCAGAGTTCGGTTTTAATCGAGCCGAGACCACCTCATTCAGGTGACCTCGGACCATTTGGTTTGGCGCGGATCCGAGCTTGATTGCTGGATTCACATATGCCAAACGAACCCCGCTAACTGGGGAAATGCGCCAGGTTCCAGAACAAAAGTCCAGGTGTGAAAGCACCCTTAAAGTCTTCATTTCGGCTTAAAATTTAATACAGAAACCCTGTATATAAAGTATAACCCTCTAGTGAATATAAAGTGTTATAAATATATATATTTTTTATACATATTTTTAAACAATAGTTTTAATAACTAATTTCAAAAAACATATTTATTTTGTGTTTGCCATAATGACAGTGCATAATATTTAACTGGTAATTTTCCAAGATACTAGAATTTAGAGCTGCACGAAAATGGAAAAATAGGACATTGCAATATTTAGATTTTTTGCCATTCATATTGCAATATGAATATAATCTCATATTTGAAAAGATTTCATTCATGTAATTAGATTGGGATGATGAAGTCTTTTTCAATGAATCCAACAGTATACATTTTAAAATAATGGGCCCCATTATACACCCGGCGCAGTGTGGCGCAAGGCGTGACGCAATAGTCTTTTGATAGTTTCAGCTTGGCGCAAGAGTTGTTTTCAGGCGTTGCGCTACACTGTTTAAATAGCAAATGCATCAGCGCTCATTTTTGCGCCCATAGGCGTTCTGGTCTAAAAAGGGAGGCGTTCTGAGGCAGACCGCTGGCGCGTTGCTATTTTGAGAAACTATAATAGATTTTTCATTACACCAAAACTAACCCGGTCTAAACTCCAGCGCAGAGTTGCGCCTCGCTTAGTATGAATACCCACAAGAGAGCAATAGGCAAATATCTTTACATATGAAAAAATTTAAATATTAAGGATATATATAGGATATAATAAGAATAGATTTAGGATATAAATATAAAGGATTAAAATATTACAAAACATATTATTTTCTAGCCTACATAAATATGAAAAATCACTGCTTTTATGCCTTCTTCATCTCGGGAGGCTTTTTCAGTTCATTCATAACAATTTGCTCTTGTATAATGTTATTATTATTAGCAGTATTATTTATTATATCCATATTTATATTTGTTTTATAAAAAACAAACTTAGATTTGCCCACCTGTCAGGTTTTAGACCATATGGGGCACAGCATGTGTATTTGGATATAACTCAGGTTTTTGAGCACATTTTGCTATTATTATTCATTTATTCGTTTGCTGGAAATTAGAACTGAATTTAGAAATAGTTTTGAAACAAATCTTTTGTAATAATACAAAAGTGTTTATTTATAGGCTAATTGATGTCTGTGCGTAAAGGTTTTCCTATCCAAGAGCGAAAGTGAAAGTAGATCCATTATCTCTCATTCTCACGCAGTAGATGCTCTGTTTAACAGTTTTCTGTTAAAAAACTCTAACTGTTAACTGTTTGCTTGTGAAATGCTCATTTTTTCCACTTAGACTTACTTTGCGTCCTGTAAATAGCGAATGCGCTCTTGGCGCGACGCAGCTGACTCTTAAAGGGAATGGGAGATGAGACTCTAATTGGTTTATTCTCAAAACACACCTATAACTCATTAAGAAAATAAACTCAACCCTTTTAGACCATGCGCCGAAGCGCAAGGCAGATTTCCCGTCCTTAAATTAGCAAAAACGCGTCCTGACACGCCCTGAAAGCATTTGCGCCCTGTGTTTTGCGCTTTACGCATAGACCGTCAAAATAGAGCCCAATATCTTTATCTTTTAGTCTTTAATAAATAATCTAATCCTGTGATGTGACTATTGCAGGACACGCACATTGCGATATCGATGCTCAAACAATATATTGTTTCGCCCTACTAGTATTCAGCATAAAGTGCAATTTAAAGGCTTAACTTGCTTAATTTTATTGACTTGGGTTAATTAGGCAATTCATTGAGCAAAAGTAGTTTGTTCTATAGTCAATCAAGAAATTAAATAATAATTATTTATATTTATATAGTATTTGACATCAGTACTCATCTGCGCTTTTTTTTTTGTAGAATCGTCCATGACTAACAGCTCAGAGGTGGAGACATTGGCCATCCAACCCCGAAAGCTCCTGATTCTGGACGCCAGGTCATACGCTGCTGCCGTAGCCAACAGAGCCAAAGGAGGAGGCTGCGAATGCCCAGGTACTGTCTCACAGACTTAATATAAACATTCACATTAAAGTAGGATAGCGTCCTCATTAATAATGCTCTCCTCTGTAGAGTACTATCCCAACTGCGAGGTGGTGTTTATGGGTATGGCCAACATCCATTCCATCCGCAAGAGTTTCCAGTCTCTGCGTTTCCTCTGCACCCAGATGCCTGATCCAGCCAAGTGAGTCTTGCAGCGAACATCTGCTGTGGCCGTTTATTGGTTTTTGTTCTTTAATACATTGGTTCTTTAAAACTAATTAAAAAGAAAAAAACTATAAAATATTGGATAAACATTTAGATTACAGGGCTCGAAATTGTGACCATTTTGCATATGCGCCCGAAAGTTAATCTATGCGACCTCATAATATATCTGGGAGCATTAGTGCGACTGCAGATAATGGTTGTAGTGCGACCTGTTTAGATTTTTTCTAAAAACGTGCTGAATCGCTCTTCCCTGCCGCTATATTGGTTTTTATAAGCTGTCAATCACTCAAGGTATTCCGCTGTCAGATGACAGGGAAGGAGCTTTTATGACCACGGGAATTGCAAACGGCTGAAGAGTGAAAACTTAAAGCACACAGGTTTGCAAACCCCACCTAAAGGTGAGGCGCAGATGAGAGCGATCATGACATGTGGTGAATATTGATCCGCCAGCTGAGATCAATCAAGTACGTGTTTTCGGAGAAGGCGCCCGAATCTCAATGCGTTGCATTCACTGCGTGTTCAGCGCAAATGTCCGCTAAAAGTCAAATCTAATACTGCACATATCATCGCCAAAGAAGCTCGCCTTTACTAAGTTTACACTGAAAATGCGGCTCATAACCAAGAGCGGTATTGCACCGGTGGTCATCGCAAAAATCCTGTTCTACCCGCTCATATATTGGGCCGGCTGACTCGCCTGCTTTTCCACTAACACAGAAAAATGAAAATCAGCTCAGACTGAACCTTTAAATTGACACAAACTGAAACCAAAAGTTTTAAAGAGTAATAGAAGTGAGACTTTACTTTCTTTCTTTTTTCTATTCTTTCTTGAGATGTATATGTTTTTATTTTTTATTTAGTTACTGATTACTGTTTTGCAGCTTTCAGCCTTGAATTGAATGATTTATTATAATCTTTTGTTTGTTTTGTAGCAGAAATATTATTTATCAAACTGACATGCATATATAAACAGCAGTACAAAATAAATATTTCTTACTGCAATGCTTCATTTTTAATTGATGCAAACTATACAATTATTTTAAATAATTCATTCAAGCACATTTAAGGCAGCATGATGATGAGAAATCTAATTCATTGTTACTATTATTGTCATTTTCATCATCATTAATATTTTATAATTCGACATTCATTTTGGAATTTTTGCACACAAATATCAATGTCATCTCAGCATTAGTTATAGTTGTTTCTGGTTTTTGTTAGTCCTAATTGATGTTGTTTTAAAATACAATAAATTCTTAAAATACAATTTGCAGCAGTGCTCGATCATTTTTGGTGGGTGCTCCTAAATTTTTTCTGGTGCTCTTAAATTTTTTCTGGTGCTCCTAAATTTTTGAAGTTGGGAGCACCGGTGCTACCAAGTAAAAAAGTTAATTTCGAGCCCTGGATTAGGTTTTAGCAAGGGAACAATGTAAATTTGTAAAAATAACGTAAATAGCGTAAAAACTTGCTGGATAAGTTGGTGGTTCATTCCGCTATGGCGACCCCTGATTAATAAAGGGACTAAGCCGACAAGAAAATGAATTAATGAATGAATATATATATATATATATATATATATATATATATATATATATATATATATATATATATATATATATATATATATATATATATATATATATTTATTTTTTCCGTTGTTTAAAGTAAATATTTAGGTTTAATAGTTTTGGTCTGCTTTTGAGAAGTCATGAGTTATAAATGTAAAGAAATTACAATTTAATTCGGTACTATTGGTTTGATACTAGTAATTCTTATTTTTTTTTGCATCTATACAATGTATACAGTAATAAATTAAAACAAGATTTGTCACTTTGTGTTTATTTTTATTAAATCAAAAAGAAATCAATTAAGTAAATTGTTGTATGAATGTGGTAACATTCCAAACCATGTTTTTGTGCATTTTCTGTTAGTAAAGAGAAGTTGCTAGTTAGATACATTATAGCTTTAGTTGAAAACTATTAAGCTATATTTTATAAAGCATTGATTCATCTGGCCAGTGGCTGATAGATATCACAATGCTGAGCCGACATCTGGATATTCTGCCCCGCCCTGTCTCAACAACAACCTGCTTGTGAAAAATACACACTGCCCCGTTTACACTAATACAGCTTAGTTTTAAAATGGCATTTTAAAATGGTAATTTGCATGTAACTTGTCTTTATTTATTTATGATTTGGTTATGGGTAAAGCAAAGACCATGTGTGTCAGGTAGTTGAAACGGTAAGCTAAAAATAATAAATTCATTATGAATTAATTCATTATTCATAAATACTTAATTCACTGCAGCCTACGACGACGATGCCATTGTTTATCGTGATGTTTCACATTAGACGTTGTACGATGGCAAATTGGTCGACATCACCCAACCCTAATCTCAGCATCAAACCAGTCGTGTTGAATCTGACTTGACTCAGATTGATTAAAGTGGACGGCCACTGTCGAATTCCTAACCTGTGCACTTTAAAGAACATTTAATACTTGTGCTTGTCTCAAACTCTTAGAAGCACACCGTTTTTTTTTTTTTTTTGTCTTTTTCCGTGTATTGTTTTCTCCCTGGCAGCAGATCCGCCTGTAATCTTCAACATTGGCTCGTATTTGCTTCCTTTTCCATCCACACCATTTCCACTCATCCATTTGTTGTAAAGTCAACAGCAAGTCTTCTAGTTTCTTTCTCTCTTTCGTCAGCATGATAAACTCTAGCCAAGAGCTGTTTCTAGGCAACTGACATGAACTGTTCAGAGAAGAAAACATCTAATTCTCTGCGTTGATTATTCTGATTGTAAATGTCTCGCTGCATGAGGTAGCACCATTAATACAGAGGTGATTTCGAGTTCATGGTACTTTGGGAGCGATATTTTCTCTTCAACTTTTCTTGGCTAATGTCAGTTTTGCTGTATCAGACCATGCTGGAAAAAATTTGTGTCCCAAACACACTCATTAATTCACTATCTTTATTTTTTTGTTAGAGAAACTGATGATCATAAAGCTGTTTTTGCTTAAAGGGTACCTTAAAGCATGTGTTCTCAACCCTTTTACTTTGAGGCCCACCTCCTTCTCTGATCATTTTTTAAAGGCCCAAACTGATTGTCTAAAGAAAATGCTTATTTTAAAGCTTCATTTATTAGCAAAACATTTCTTTTGTCTTCTATTATTCTGTTATTTTTCTACATCGTTTTATAAAAAAACCCTGAACAATATATATATATATATATATATATATATATATATATATATATATATATATATATATATATATATATATATATATATATATATATATATATATATATATATATATATATATATATATATATATATATATATATATATATATATTGTTACAACCTTTTTGATGTTAGCCTAGGGTAAAAGTAATAACATTTAAAAGGTGTGGTACTTTTACAAGATGATGGGTTAAAGCAAAAGACACAAACAACAAAACTGCCAACAAAAGTGATTTAATGTACAAAAAGTTAAATCAGAATAATGCACAAATATATATATACAATAAGAAAAATATTTACAATAATAATAACGTAACAAATTAAACAAAGTATCAAACAAAATTAGGTCAACTCAAGAGTAAGGGGACGCTAGTGAAGCCAAATCAAAGAAATAAATATAACAAAACAATTCTAACTCATAAGTAAACCCCTTACCTCGCTAGAAACATGAAAAGAAAAGGAAAAGAAAAATCTTCAGCACCGAGCACCGTAACCTTACCTATTCTGAACTAAAACAAAACAAATACATAAGTGGTATTCACTTCTTACCTGGTGTTTTAAACAATGGATTGACTACGTGTTTGTAGGATGGAAGTCGTACTACATCTTCCCTGTCCACCTTACTCTGAGGACAAAGTCAACTTTCAATATTATCTCTTTTGGTTTGCCAGGTAAGAGTTGTACCAAAAAGTGATAAATAAACAATCGAAAATAAAATGTACAGAAATCACAAAGTAGTTCAAAAATGGGCAGAAAATATACTAAATAATTTTATCCAAATGAAAGTTAAGCAAAAATAACGAATAACAAAATCATGTCGGCAAAACACACAAAAACAGGATCAAGGAAAAGCGCACTGTCACCTGCTTTCCCTGGCGTCTTTATATGTGACAGCGCCACGTCACCCAATGATGAGTGACTGGTCTCCCGACCAATCGGCTTCTGCGAAGGCGGACCTAAAGGATACGACAGGCAGAGATGGGGTAGAGAGGGAGAGAGAGAGAGAGAGAGAGAGAGAGAGAGAACGTGATGCAAAAATCCCGCTGTATATATATGTACAGTGGAAGTCAGAATTATTAGCCCCCCTTTGAATTTTTTTCTTTTTAAAATATTTCACAAATGATGTTTAACAGAGCAAGGAAATTTTCATAGTATGTCTGATAATATTTTTTCTTTTGGAGAAAGTCTTTTTTGTTTTATTTCAGGTAGATTAAAAGCAGTTTTCATTTTTTTAAAACCATTTTAAAGAAATTTTTTTTTGCCCTTTTAAGCTACATATTTTTTTGAGAGTCTACAAAACAAACCAACATTATACAATAACTAGCCTAATTACCCTAATTAATCTAGTTAAGCCTTTAAATGTCACTTTAGGTCGTATAGAAGTGTCTTAAAAAATTTCTAGTAAAATTTTATTTACTGTCATGATGGCAAAGATAAAATGAATCAGTTATGAGAAATGAGTTATTAAAACTATTATGTTTAGAAATGTGTTAAAAAAAATCTCCCTCCATTAAACAGAAATTGTGAAAAAAAATAAACGGGAGCTAAAAATTCAGGGGACTAATAATTTTGACTTCAACTGTATATAGTGTTAACATATATACATACATACACTGTATATTCAACTTCAAATATATATACACATTCTGGAGACACAGAAGACTTATCTTAAATCCTGAAAATAGGTGCCCAGCAGGTTTTAGAAAAGAGATTCATCCAGCATATATTTTTTGCAGCGGATGCCCATCCAGCTACAACCCACCATCACATGATACTTCAGAACTCATTCTGACATGCTCTTTTGATTGTCAACTTAGAAACCTATAACCTTGACACCTTGAAATAGAAATATTATGAATGCCTTTACTTGCACTTTTGATCAGTTTATTGCATGCTTTTCAGCAAAAGCATTTTTTTTTAATTAAAATTTTTAAAATCATTTTGCATTTCCTCAATGATATTTTACAAACTTCTGCGCAGAAAATGTCCATAGATTCTATATGGCCCTATTAGTATGACCATGCAATTATGTTAAAAAAGCAATTCAATTCATGTTGTAGATTGTGTCAAAGCAGCTTAACATAGTTCTAGTAAAGTCCAGATTTCAGAATTGAAGTTTAGTTTAGTTTAATGTGGTTTAAATTTCACTGCTGAAAGTTCAAACATTGAAGAGCAGATCCGCCGAAGCGCAGCTCAACAAGTCCCGATCAAAGCAAGCCAGTGATGACAGTGGCGAGGAAAAAAAAACCTAGAGAGAAACCAGGCTATGTTGGGCGCGATCATTATTCTTCTGGCCAAACTTCCTGTCTAGAGCTGCAGTCTAGGCACCGGAGGCTGTAGAAGCTGGACGTCCATTGTGGAGAAGCTGCAGCTGTGAGTAGGCCACCGGCGGGAAGTCAGTCTGGCCCACAGGATCAATGCGGCCACTCGTTTGTCACGGTGGTCTTTCAGGAATCAGTCTCATGCACTCCATGACGACCACAGCATCAGCTCAGGATACGGCCTGGTCCAGTATTATGGAGACCTTAGGATCATCTCTTCACAGGTCTTGGATCACATAAATGGCGCGGCATAGTCTCTACAGATCTCGGAATGAGTATCCCCGGGTCAAAATAGAGAATAAAGAAAATAATTAGCGTAGCTGCTGTTCATAGTGGATTTAAACGAGATGCAAAAATGAAGTGTTATAAAAGAAAATAACAGTTAAATAAACCAACATGTAAAGCAAAAAAGAGTTTCTAACACAATGTCTGGTGTATTAAGGAGGAGTGTGTCCTACAGGTGGTTGTCAAGCCAACTCACCTGCGTGGAGCACATTAATGCATCATACTGTTATGTGATGCATTGAGTGTATGCTTTATTAAAATGATAGGTCTGTAATCTAGTTTTAAACTTAATAGGCTCTATTTTGACGGTCCATGCACAGAGCGCAAAACGCAGGGCGCAAACGCTTTCAGGGCGTGTCAGGACGCATTTTTGCTAATTTAAGGGCGGGAAAATCCGCTTTGCGTCTTGGCGCATGGTCTAAAAGTGTTGAGTTTATTTTCTTAATGAGTTATAGGTGTGTTTTGAGAATAAACCAATTAGAGTCTCATCTCCCATTCCCTTTAAGAGTCAGCTGCATCGCGCCAAGAGCGCATTCGCTATTTACAGGACGTAAAGTAAGTCTAAGTGGAAAATCTGAGCATTTCACAAGCAAACAGTTAACAGTTACAGTTTTTTAACAGAAAACTGTTAAACAGAGCATCTACTGCGTGAGAATGAGAGATAATGGATCTACTTTCACTTTCGCTCTTGGATAGGAAAACCTTTACGCACAGACATCAATTAGTCTATAAATAATTAATTTCGTTTGTTAAGCGAAAAGATTCGTTTCAAAACTATTTCTAAATTCAGTTCTAATTTCCAGCAAACGAATAAATGAACAATAATGACCAAGTGTGGTCAAAATACTGAGTTATTTCCAAATACACATGCTGTGCCCCATATGGTCTAAAACCTGACAGGTGGGCAAATCTAAGCTTGTTTTTAATAAAACAAATATAAATATGGATATAATGAATAATACTGCTAATAATAATAACCAATAATTGTTATTTAATAATAATTAAACAAGCAAATTGTGATGAATGAACTGAAAAAGCCTCCCGAGATGAAGAAGACATAAAAGCAGTGATTTTTCATATTTATGTAGGCTAGAAAATAATATGTTTTGTAATATTTTAATCCTTTATATTTATATCCTAAATCTATTCTTATTATATCCTATATATATCCTTAATATTTAAATTTTTTCATATGTAAAGATATTTGCCTATTGCTCTCTTGTGTGTATTAAGCAGTGTGTAAGCGAGGCGCAACTCTGCGCTGGAGTTTAGACCGGGTTAGTTTTGGTCTAATGAAAAATCTATTATAGTTTCTCAAAATAGCAACGCGCCAGCGGTCTGCCTCAGAACACCTTCCTATTTAGACTAGAACGCCTATGGGCGCACATATGAGCGCTAATGCATTTGCTATTTAAACAGCGTAGCGCAACGCCTCAAGACGACTCTTGCTGAAAGCTGAAACTAGCAAAAGACAATTGCGCCGCGCCTTGCGCCAGACTGCGCCAAGTGTATGATAGATCCCAGAGTGTGTCTGAGCCTCGGAAAGCAAAAGAAGTAACTTGACTCTGTTTCAGGTGTTTTTAGCATGCTATTCCTTATCACATTTTTATTCAATAGTGCAAATTCAAGTATGTAACTGCATGTTTTGTTGTGTCTCTAGCTGGCTGTCTGCTCTGGAGAGCACAAAGTGGCTTCAGCATCTGTCTCTCCTGCTCAAGGCGTCTCTTCTGGTGTCGAATGCTGTAGATCGAGACCACCGGCCAGTCCTGGTTCACTGCTCCGATGGCTGGGATCGAACCCCTCAGATAGTCGCGCTGGCCAAACTTCTGCTGGACCCGTACTACCGCACCATCGAGGTGAACTCCCATATAATGAACCATTAAAACTCTTTCTCATTTATTATGAGAGGAATTCATAAGCTATATCACATGCTGGAGAAATCCACAAGGGCTTATTTTTAAGTCCTGCTAGTTTGAAAATGCTCACAAGGACATGTTTACATAGACAGTGACTTAAAGGAAATGTTAAAATATTTGTAGTGCTGCCTGACCTTGGAGCACACAACACCATTTGATTAAGATCGATCTTCAGACAAAACAATAGAGTCGTGTTGTTGTAGGAAATGCTTGTGGGTCAAAATACATGTTGCTCTGACTCTTTTGGTTTGTTTTGAATTTAATGGTGTCTTATATGCGATGCACATTCATTCATTTTTTTGCTTTAAACCCATAATGCAATTACAAAAAAATCTACTAAAATTCTAAATGTTAAACATTAACTCAAAATGATTAAAACTCATTTTAAAGTATTATCTTTATTACAGTCAAGCCTGAAACTATTCATACTTAAATTATGACTCGAAGTTTTTGTTCAAATGTAAAAAAACTAAGTAATATATATATATATATATATATATATATATATATATATATATATATATATATATATATATATATATATATATATATATATATTTTAGTGCTGTCTACGATTAAAAAAATTTAACTAATCAATCGCACCTTTTTTTAAAAAGTTAATCGCGATTAATCACATATAAAATACTGAAACTTAAATTTTGCGCGCAACTCACCCCCACCGTCCTTTAGGTAGTCTCGTGCGCACACGCCCCTACTCAGATACGTCGCTTACTCCACCCCTGACACCCCTGACACCCCTCAATGGGCCGGACACAGACAGACACACACAACGCGCTGCAGACGTTTTGGCCCCAACGGCCTTCCATACTGGAGCGACTCCCCTCAGATTCAACACGCATGATGACGTTCATCAAATTTGCTTAAACTAAGCGTCCTAAAGTATTACTGTACTTCACAAGGATTCTGACACAACAACGCGAAACATACGCTTTCGTTGCGTTTAATGAGAAAACACGCTAAACTTGGAGGGCTCATGCTCATGAAGAGTTTTTTTTATCAAAAATAGAACTGAAAAATCATGTTTAACTTTGAATAAATTTTTGTGTGAATTTTATCTTTTTATATTTGTCTAAGTCACTTTTTTAGTGTTATATGAATTTGTTTTTATCATGTATTATTTCAATGTATATCCATTTGGCCATGAAATAGCCATAAGTTGCTGATGTGGCAATAAATAATAAATAAATAAATAAATAATAAATAAATAAATAAATAAAGTAGGTAGTGCTGTTGCCTCACAGCAAGAAGGTCGCTGGTTCGATCCTCGGCTCAGTTGGCGTTTCTGTGTGGAGTTTGCATGTTCTCCCTGTGTTCGCGTGGGTTTCCTCCAGGTGCTCCAGTTTCCCTCACAGTCCAAAGGCATGCCATACAGGTGAATTGGGTGTGTTAAATTGTCCGTAGTGTATGAGTGTGTGTGTGAGAATGTGTGTGTGGATGTTTCCCAGAGACGGGTTGCTGCTGGAATGGCTTCCGCTGCATAAAAAACCCGCTGATTACTAAAGAGACTAAGCAAACAAGAAAATGAAATGAAATTTTAGCATGCCAAAGTCATATTTATGCGTTTAAAATAAATTTTCCCAACAACAAAATTGTGGCTAGTGAAAATGGCGAGTGGCTAGTAATGTTGGAAAACTACTACTTTTCACTGTCATCATGAAATTGTTAACAGAAAATCTCCTTTCTGCTCTCAGGGTTTTCAAGTGCTTGTCGAAACTGAGTGGTTGGACTTTGGGCACAAGTTCGCTGACCGATGTGGTCACGGAGAAAATGCAGAAGACCTGAACGAGAGATGTCCAGTCTTCCTACAGTGGCTGGACTGTGTGCACCAGCTCCAGAGACAATTCCCATGCTCCTTTGAGTTCAACGAAGCCTTTCTGGTGAGTAAAAGTGGATGTAAAGCATTGTGTTTTAGAGGTGCCATAGAGTGCATTGATTCAGTAAGTCAAGTTGTTTCCTGATATCTACATAGTAGGTATGTGGCTTGAATTAGTAAAAATATTATGATTATAAAAGTTATACAGTTGAATTCACGCTCTCCTGTCATTTGTTTTCTTTTTCAAATATTTCTTAAATGATGTTTAAGAGCAAGAAAGTTTTAACAGTATTTCCTAATATATATATTTTTTTTCTAGTGAAACTCTTATTTTTTATTTCGGCTAGAATAAAAGCAGTTTTGTATTTTTATTAAACCATTTTAAGGTCAGTATTTTTAGCCCCCTTAAGCAATGTTTGTTATCGATTGTCTACAGAACAAAACCACTGTTATACAATAGCTCCTTTCACACATACAGACCTTTCCCAAAAATTTTCCGGAAAGGTCTGTATGTGTGTTAACAGGCCCTTTTTGAAAATACCGGTAAATTCGTTCTGGCTATTTTCCGGAAAGAGAAGTTGTAACATTACCGGTAATTTGCCGGAATACTGCGCTGTGTGAATGCAGAAGGAAGATTGCCGGAAAGAGCGTGTGCACATCTAGAACGTGCTGACGTGAGACGTCTACTTTAGCCAATCAGAGCAATCGAACACATTCAAGTCTGTGTGGTTTATAAAAATAAAAGCCTTTGAATATTTGACACATTTAGCTGCTAGATGTTAGTCAGATAACGTTTATATGTTCATCTTAATGCCAACTGTGTAAATAATTATCGATAAGATGCTTATGGTAAGCCGTTGTTTGTTTACCTTCAAGCTCTGCTTCCTTTAGTTGCTTGACGCGTCGCTTGTGCCCGTGAAGCAGCTGGTGAGCGCCAGCACACACGCATATCATATACATCTCAACATGCGAAAGTGTTCCTCCATATGTTTTCATCGAAGTTGTTCACAATACTGATCCATCCACAGGGTTTTTAACGTAGTCAAATGTTTACAAATACAAGCGCATTCATTTAGAGGTCATTTCTGGTTAATGATGTCAGAATTTACCTGTATTTTTGAATGATTTTTCCGTAAAAATTCCGTAACGTCCTCACCTGTGTGAACAGCGCTTTTTTTAATCTACCGGTAAAGTCGTTCCGGAAATTTTTCGGATGTTTACTGGTATCACTGTGTGAAAGTTGCTAAAGACTTGCCTAATTACTAGGGATGTAACGGTATTGTAAATACCGTCATACCGCAATATTAATTTTTTTCGATATTACCGTAGTCGCATGACTCGGTAAAACTATAGGTCTTCTGAGAAAATTTGCTCAGGCGAATGAAGCAAACGGGAGGTACTGGAAACTACAATTCCCATCAGCCCAGGCTTGGCCATAATCCCTTGCGGTCTGTTGTCGCTACAGATCCAGTATGGCGGAAATGGAGTGTGCTGCTAGAAGCGGGGATCAAAAAGAGCTGGAAAACCCTAAAGCAGGTGTTGTCGCTGCGCGCGTACTGAATAGTGGTGTTGTCGCGCGAGTTCTTATCAGCTGTGTTGTCGCGCGCGTACTGAATAGCAGTGTTGTCGCGCGAGTTCTTATCAGCTGTGTTGTCGCGCGCGTATTGTAAAGCGGGGACGGAGGGTATGTCGCGTCGCGGGGGCACTTTTGATCATTTTGGAAGGGAACTTTCTGTCCAAGACTAAAAAGGGCATGTGCACTGCACAGGTTGAGCACTGTGTGTACACGTGCCTGCAAGTTGGGGAATAGGACTAATAACAGTCATGGGGACTGCAGAAACACAGCACACTGTTCAGATTGATGCAGACATGAGACCTCTATCTCACTCATGGTTTGTCCTCTCAAGTGGGGGAAAGACAATGCACAACGTTACCCACTGCTGTCAACCTGGGCCAAGTCATATCTCTCTGTCCCAGAAACCTCAGTCCCAAATGAGAGGGTTTTTTTCTGTTGCAGGGGACATTGTAAATACCCAGAGATACCAGCTTTTACCAGATTATATTTATATGATAATTTTCCTTTAAACCCATCTCTATCCAAGTGAGTGAGTGAGTGATTAAATGTTGAATGTGATGAGTTTTCAACAATACTAAATTGGAACCTAATTTTTTAACATGGTTTAATAATTTTTTGTTATTAAAATTGAAGTTCCTGTTTCAAAGCTTACAGATAGATGACTAATTTGTATGTCATTGACACTTTTGGCACATTTTTTTAGTATTTTCATAAGTTTTGTTTTTTCCTGTAAATGATTCAATAAATACCGTACCGTGACATTCATACCGAGGTATTACCGTACCGTGAAATTCTGATACCGTTACATTCCTACTAATTACCCTAACTTGCCTAATTAACCTAGTTAAGCCTTTAAATGTGACTTCAAGCTGAAAACTAGTATCTTGAAAATTATTTAGTCAAATATTATGTACTGTCATCATGGCAAAGATAAAAAAAAAAAAACTGTTATTAAAACTATTATTTTTAGAAATGCGTTGAAAAAACGCAGAAATTAGGGGAAAAAAAAAACAGTGAGGACTAATAATTCAGGACGGCTTATAATTCTGACTGGTATATGCTCATTTATAACCCCAGAAATAACTCCTAGCATCAAAAGCTTGGGTTTGACCATATTTGGAGTGGTCGTGAATATATTAACCTCTGAATACATTTATAATCTGTATATCCCACTTTTTGCATGAAGAGCTGTGAACAGATGGCTGGCTGAGAACCACTCCTTTAAGCAACGCTCCATTTTTTTAAACATCTGTAAACATTGTTTTTTATGACTGTACACAGACTGACACCGCCATTCAGGATCTGTCAACATAACAACAGCTGCGTCCCAAATCGCATACTTATGCACTATTTTACGCCATTTTGTAGTGTAAAAAGTGTAATTAGTGTGTTCACACTGAAAAGTCTAAAAATAATAAGTGCACTTTAATTACCCGGATGATGCACTCATTCAGCCGGTAAAATGAAGTGTGTAATGATGGACACTTCACGCACTTAACGATCGCAGGTTTGCTTACGTAGCGGAAGGGGCGGAGCTATCAGGCGCACATGTTGGATAACTTTTTATTTTGGATGGTGAACGCAAAATTCTCCTACGAGAGTGATTATAGCGCCTCCCGATGGTGAATGCGGATATACTCACGGTAGGTATTATTTAATAATTTGGTCGTTTATTTCACGGATTTGCAAACGTCATCAGGGAAACGGTTTGAATTTCCGCTTAGTAAAAAAACATTAGTGTGCCATTTGGGACGACACTACATACATATACTATCCTGTTGAGTGTGTAAGTGCGTAAGTACATAGTGCATGAGTGGATAGTGTATAGTGTGCAATTTGGGACGTGGCTAACGTAAAAAAAAAGGATATATCCAGGAAATATCCTGATTTACATAATATGGCACCTTTAAAGGGGACCAATTAAGCCCCTTTTTACAAGATGTAAAATAAGTCTCTGATGTTCCTAGTGTGTGTTTGTGAAGTTTCAGTTCAAAATACCACAATAATGTTTTATTACTCTTTGAAACTGACCCGTTTTTAACCCGTCTTTAATCCTAATTGTGGTGTTTTGGTGACTGCCGCTTTAAATTCAAATGAGATTGTGTTTTTTTTTAAAAGAGGGCGGAGCTACAAATGGTTAAATTTGAGCATAGTGGCAAATTCAAAAACTCAAAGACTAATGTCCTATGCTAATAAGGGAGAGATAGTCACTAGTGGGTGGAGCTTTCCCGCCTCTGATGACATGTACAAAGGGAGAATGTCAATCAAAGTGTTTCTGCAGACTCTTTTTATTAAGTTTGATTAAAAAAAATAATTAATAAATTTTGATCATTAGTAGCTGGTTATATTCACACACTGCTGCCACACTATTGTGTTTAAGCCCCTTATAATAGTGATATTTGCATAATAGATCCCCTTTAAATGAGTGTCTTGTACTAAGTGTTGAGCAATTTCTAAATGCTTTTGCATTGTGTGTTCAGGTGAAGCTAGTTCAGCACACATACTCGTGTCTGTTCGGGACGTTCCTGTGTAACAGCGGAAAGGAAAGAGAAGACAGACGCATCCAGGAGAGAACCTGCTCTGTTTGGTCTCTCCTCAGAGCCGCCAACCGCTCCTTCGGAAACATGCTGTACTCCTCACATTCAGAGACCGTATGTCACCTCTTCTCAATCTGTTCTGCTTTCTTTTACTTTTACTTTCACTTTATTTATACAGCGCTTTACAACTACTCTTTAGATTAGATTAAACTAAATAAGATTCAACTTTATTGTCATTACACATGTACAAGTAAAAGGCTTCAAAATGCAGTTTAGGTCTAGGTGGAATAGCAGCAAGTGCAGGATACAGGCATGCGTTATAAAGTGCAATTATAGAAAACTATGGGTAATATTTACAGATCGTATTAACTAGAATCAGATATTAACACATAGATGAACATACTGTACAGGTTGCTCTTAATAATCAGGGATATGCAAATAGATATGAACATAATACACAGTGCATCCAGAAAGTATTCATAGCGCTTCACTTTTTCCACATTTTTTATGTTACAGCCTTGTTCCAAAATGGATTAGATTAATTTAATTCCTCAAAGTTCTACACACAATTCCCCATAATGACAATGTGAAAAAAGAGTTTTTTTTGAAATTGTTGCAAATTTATTTAAAATAAAAAAGCTGAAAAATCAGATGTACATCAGTATTCACAGCCTTTGCTCAATACGTTGTTGATGCACCTTTGGCAGTATTTACAGCCTCAAGTCTTTTTGAATATGATGCCACAAGCTTGGCTCACCTGTCTTTGGGAATTTTTGCCTATTCCTTCTTGCAGTACCTCTCAAGCTTTATCAGGTTGGATGGGAAGCGACGGTGTACAGCCATTTTCAGATCTCTCCAGAGATGTTCAATAGGATTTAGGTCTGGGCTCTGGCTAGGCCACTCAAGGACATTCGACGAGTTGTTGTGAAATAACTTCATTGATATTTTGGCAGTGTGCTTTGGGTCATTGTCCTGCTGGAAGATGAACCGTCACCCCAGTCTGAGGTCAAAAGCACTCTGAAGCAGATTTTCATTCAGGATGTCTCTGTTCATCGCTGCATCCATCTTTCCCTCTATCCTGACTAGTCTTCCAGTTCCTGCTGCTGAAAAACATCCCCATTATTGGGTTATTGATCACCTCCCTGACTAAGGCCCTTCTCCCCCGATCACTCAGCTTAGATGGCCGGCCAGCTCTAGGAAGAGTCCTGGCGGTTAAACATCTTATGGATGATGGAGGCCGCTGTGCTCATTGGGACTTTCAGAGCAGCAGAAATGTTTCTGTAACCTTCCCCAGCCTTTTGCCCTGAAACAATCCTGCGGTTGCAGGTAGATTTCAGCTGTGACGGGTTAGATAGTCACACTCAATAGCCACTTTAGCTGGTTGAAAATAATTTTTAAATTGCAGTGCTGGGTAGCCACTACAGATTAGAATTATAATTTATGACCGTTTGTCAATATGCATGCAAATTTGATCTTATTTATAAAATTTGAACTGTTAAAATAACTGTTCGCATAGGCACAAGAAAGCAGGTGAATACTGAATGAGAGGATGAGAAGCATAACAGAACAAACCACTGTTATCCAGTGTATTAACATGCCTCACTTATGACCACTTCTCAAAATGATGATATGTAAACGGCATGTAAGTTGACTTTTGTGGCTGTTTAACAAATAATACTGATAATTTCACCACATGAATTAACTATGAAAGCAGTCTAGTCTAACACTTTTTTTGGAAGTGGCTCATCGTGGATAAGTTAAAACCTTTTGGCCCCCATTTACAAGTATTTTTCTTTCCTGATAGCCCTCGGCTGCCTTGGCCTCATAACTCATACCTCTGTTTTGTAATAGTTTCATTTGACCTTTGTGTCATGAGTGAACCTGAAGGGAGGCGTTTACTGGCTTCAGAGCTCATGCTTGCATTCCTCTCTAATGCTCAAGAGACTCAGAGCTGCCTGTCCTTTCATTTCCTGTCTTTTAAAGCTACAGAAGTTCACAAAGCACAAACAAACCTGTTGGTGAGTAGGGTTATTTCAGGATTTTAATATACCACTGTAGAACCTTAAATTTTAATAATGCAATGTGTCTTGTCAGGGTTTTTCTGCTGCTGTTGTTGTAGTTGTTGTTGCTAAACTCGATCAGTTTCAGTTTGAATAATTGTGATGATACTTTACAATGAATTCTTAGTTAATGTTTATTAATACATCAACAAATGTGTTTCTCTTTTGTTTATAATATTAGGTAAAGTGTGTATTAGTTCTAAATGTTCAATATTATTATTAGATGTTAATATAAACTGGTGGTGGGCTGTTATCTGCGTTAACGTGCTGTGTTAACGCGAGACTCTTATCAGGCAATTAAAAGAAATATTGCCGTTAATCTATTCTCAAAGTTGGGTTGGGAGCTGGGTCTATTCTACGCAAGCTATGATCACTTTCACCTTGATATTTTAGAGCGGATGTATACAGTACAGTAGGTGGCCGAATTGCACAGTAGGTGGCGAGAACGAGTCTTCGAACCTGTGTGTTTTCCTACTGTAAAATTACCACATCAAACATGACGTGCTAACATGGATACTGTTCACTAGAGTGAATCTGATTAATGATAGCTCCACATCTAACTATTAGGCACCTCTAGAGTTTATGTGTTCGAGTAAAACATATACAAATAAAATAAAGCAGGTGCTTTTTTAAAAAGAATGACGGTGAATGAAAGTCAAACCAGTCTGACAAAAAAAGTGCCCTTCTGAATCAAATCAGCAGGATGCCCTTCTGGATCTTTCACTTACTTTGAAGACACCACTGACTACGTTTGTATGGGCATCTGTAATCTACTTATTTGCCTTAACTGACAATAATATAATTAAGGTGTTTACGTGAAGTGCTTTCATGTTAGAGTTTCCTGTAATTTTGTGTGACTTTAACTGCAGTTTGGCAGTTTCACATTCACTCATGAACATTTCATTCATGCCCCCGTGATAAAACTGGGGTATTAGACACAAACTGAGCCGAACTGAGTCTGGTTCTCTCAAGGTTTTTTTTCTTCACTCCCATCAGGTGAAGTTTTTTTTTTTCCCTCTTCGCTGTCGCCACTGGCTCGCATGGTTCAGGATTGGTAGAGCTACGCATCAATGAAAGTGCTCTTCAGTGTTTGAACTCTCAGTAATGATAAATCACACTGAACCGAGCTAAACGGAACTGAACTGAACTTAAACACTAAAAACAGAACTACACTGTTCCAGTTACTATGACCATTTATGTGAAGCTGCTTTGACACAATCTACATTGTAAAAGCGCTATACAAATAAAGCTGAATTGAATTGAATTGAACAAATAAGGAGTAAGGACTGGTGAGAGTGTTATGGAATTTAATAACGCACGCCAAAATGGAAAGATGTTTTTTGCTGTCCTTTACTGACAGCTGTGTGTGTGTGGATCTTGTGGATCAAGTCCTACATGACGGTAATAGTTTGATTGCAGTGTTTACTTCAATAATGCCACTAATATCTGCATACTCCACATGTCTTAATTCCATTTCTGTTTAGTTCAGTTATGACTTTAGTGGGATTAAGGTCATCAAAAATCGCTGTTTCAAGCTCATTTAGGCCTACAGTGCAAAATTCATGTTTTACTGAATAAACAGTTATTAAACACAAGTACGTCATATTGAACATCATTTATTTTCATTACCAATTATCATAGTAGAACAGTTTCCCAAGCAGTTTGTGATGCATTTTGGAAACAGGAGATGAGCCCCTGGTCTAATGCGCCACCTGGCTTGAGAAACCCGTTCTCAAAGACCTATTATTTGGGTAGCACGCATATTCTGAAAGCCTTCAGCAGAATTCAAATGAGCCATTTCAATTTAGATCAATTCCAAGATTACAGTGAGATTAATCTAGATTAAAAAATAATCTATGCCCACATATAAACATTATCTAAAATTTAAATGCTTCAAAAGTACTGTGTTTGTATTTGTTCACATTCAGTATTATTCATTTATTCATTTTGATATTTTCGGTTTAGTCCCTTTATTAATCAGGGGTCACCATAGCGGAATGATGCCCTTCCAGCTGCAACCCAACACTGGGAAACACCCACGCACCCTCAATCACACACATACACTACGGACAATTTTGCTTACCAAATTCACCTATAGTGCATGTCTTTGAACTTTTGGGGGAAACCGAAGCAAACCCATGCCAAACCAATACCAACTGACCCAGCCGAGGCTCAAACCAGCAACCTACTTTCTGTGATGCGACAGTGCTTATCACTGCACCACCGCGCCGCTCACTAAAATGATATTTATTAACAGTTTTTGTATCTGCTGGTTTCTACTAGGTGCTTCATCCTGTGTGTCACGTGCGCAATCTGATGTTGTGGACAGCAGTTTACCTTCCCAGCTCTTCACCCACGACCCCTTCAGATGACTCCTGTGCCCCTTACCCTGCACCCGGTGCCAACCCTGAGGATCAGCCCCTGGGCAGGTAACTAGATGACATGTAAACATACAGCAAAACATTCATGTTCTTTATATTCATAATATCTTAATGTGCATTACAGCTATGGTGAAAAATGGTTCAAGAAATCGATTCTGCATAATTTCTGAGAGTTTCAAAATGCTTCGCTATTCTATACGGCTGAGCCTGGTCAGTAACTGGATAGGAGATTACATGGGAAAACTAGGTTGCTGTTGGAAGTAGTGTTAGTGCGGCCAGCAGGGGGCGCTCAACCTGCTGTCTGTGTGGGTCCTAATGCCCCAGTATAGTGAAGGGGACACTATACTGTCAGTGAGCGTTATCTTTCAGATGAGACTTTAAACTGATACTAACCCCTAAAATAATCATTAATAAATAATATAAGAATCAATACTACAGTGAATTACAAGAGTTCATAGTGACCTGCGTTTACATTAATCTTGACACATTAAAGCCAACTTGCATGGCTCACCAAAACACACAAGCCCTCTGTTTCATGAGCATTTGAGTGTATGATTAAAAATTATCCTAGATCGCCATCTGCTGTTAAAAACTACCCTTAGAAGTGACTCAAGAGAGAAGAGAAATGTAATTTGATCATCTCAGAATCAATGTAGAATTGAATTACATTGAGACCTTCTCCAAAAGAAAAAATATTATCAGACATACTGTGAAAAATTCCTTGCTCTGTTAAACTTCGTTTAGGATTTATTTGAAAAAGAAAAAGAAATTCACAGGAATTCAACTATACATCACCCTTAATGAATATGCTGCATGTATGGAATTAAAAAATTTTGTACTATATATTGGTTCCGTGGACATTCAAAAGCATTGTGCAGCCCTGTTTATCAACTTTTCCAAAGCTTTTGATACAGTGGATTAAACCTTGCTGTTACAATGCCTCAAAAGTATTGGATTGTCTGATGTAAATGTGTATGTATATATATATATATATATATATATATATATATATATATATATATATATATATATATATATGAGCAATATCACTCGAGTAGCAGTCCTGATATACAGCCATATCACACTGCTACGAGTGTGATATTGCATTTATACAACAGTTCAATGACACAATCTTGTACATAAAAAAGAAAATCTAACACAGAGAGTCTAAAACCCTTTTGTATTGGGAACTACTTTCTTCCGCCATTTATTCACATCTGCAGCTTCAGACTTCAGAACAGCAGGAGCTGTTACTATATATACTCTCTCTCTCTCTTTCTCAATTTCTCTCTCTCTCTCTCTCTCTCTCTCTCTCTCTCTCTTTCTCTCTCTCTCTCTATATATATATATATATATATATATATATATATATATATATATATATACACAGTTGAAGTCAGAATTATTAGCCCCCTTTTGATTTTTTTTTTCTCTTTTAAATATTTCCCAAATGATGTTTAACAGAGCAAGAAAATTTTCACAGTATGTCTGATAATATTTTTTCTTCTGGAGAAAGTCCTATTTGTTTTATTTCGACTTGAATAAACGCAGTTTTTAATTTTTTAAAAACTATTTTTGGGACAAAATTATTAGTCCCATTTCAGCTTGACTTTAAATCGCGCTCTTGTTTATGTTTTTTAACAGGCGTCCTAAAACTCGCTCGTTTGATAACTTGCCCAGTGCTTGTGAAGTTGGAAATCCACTAACATCAAATCGACGTTCCAGTGACCCAAGTTTGAATGAGAAATGGCAGGACCATCGCAGGTCTCTGGAGCTCAACATTGGGGCTGGGACTGATGGAGCTGCATCTCCAGAACCAGATGAAAGGGTCAACGGACAAACCATGGTGGGGATTATGGGAACATTCTCCAATGGGGGCACAGAGAATGGGGAGGGGCTTAAGGATGTCAGATTGCCAATGATAGATGGGGTTGATGAGGCGGAGCTAACAGTTGGTGTGGCTGTGGGCCAAATGGAGAACATTCTCCAGGAAGCCACGAAAGATGAATCTGCACCTGATACTCGCAGTGTCGCAAAGCCTAATGAAACCTCTGCTGTAAATGGAAAGACTGATGATATTGCACAGGAAGGTAGAACTGAGGACGATCTAGAGAGTAAAAGTCTTGAAGACGGGAATGTCAACGGACATTGTTCGGAAGATGGCAATTCTGAAGCATCGTCAGCTCTCAGCCAGGATACTTCAGAAAGCCAGGACTCTGAAGAAATTGAGAAATGTACAACACAGGAGGACGATTCATCATGCAACCCAACTATATTAACTCCCAACGGCCTCAGGACTCTAACCAATGGCCATGGAGTTGAACCATCCATTGAGCAAGCCGAAAAACGTCTTTCACTCCTTGAAAGCTCCACAGAGACACTGACCGAGGATTTGGGCGTTCGACCAGAGAGCCTGGGACCTTTATCTATTCCACCCCCTCTCAAAGCCCTCGCCGAATCATCGTGCCTCAAACAGGGTCTACGCACAGCAGCCAGAACTTTAAACAACACCCCAAAACGGGCGTCTCTCAGTGCCTTTCCGCCCGCCTCCACTGACCTCCTCCACCCCATGTGTAACGGAGACTCGCCCGATCCCGAGCCCTCCACGCCACGCACAAACGGAGAACGAGCCACACTTAGCCGGCAGGTTTCGCTGGCCAGTTGTGGCTCTCTGACCCTCCATGCACGGGGCACCTGCTCCCACCATCGCTGCCTGCATTTGGGGTTTCTGGGCCGGCCGAGCTTCAGTCCTCCAGAGCCTCCATCATCCTCATCCAGGAGCCATCTGGATGATGATGGGTTGACCCTGCACACGGACGCCATCCAGCAGAGGCTGCGGCAGATCGAGGCAGGACACCAGCTCGAGGTGGAGGCTCTGAAGAGGCAGGTTCAGGAGCTCTGGAGTCGGCTGGAGAGCCACCAGGCTGCTGGGATGCTGCGGCTCAACGGAGACATCGGAGATGAAGTGGTGAGCAGTCTTTTTGTTTGTTTATTTATTTTTCGCAACAAGGGACAGTGTACATTAATTCAGTGTTTCCCATCCTGTTTCTGAAGAACCATTAACGCTGCACATTTTTAACCTGTCCCATGCAAACACACATGAATCAAATCATCAGAACTGAAGAATCTCAAAAACCTGTAATGAATGGGTAAGATAGGGGAGGCATCTAAAATATGTATGTTGGTGTGCCTCCAGAAACAGGGTGGTAAACACTGCATCAATCAACGGTCCCCAAGAACGTAAACTAACCCAATTTAGCCTAGTTTTCATTGGTGGCTCCTTAGCTATATGTTAAAGGCCATACCAATAAAAATACAAATTCAAACTAAATGCAATACTCAAATGAATAAGAAACAGCAACTATATCAAAACGCCTAGAGTTCACAATGTTGATTATTAAGAAGCCAATGTTGAAGCCATTTCTTAAAATTATACTTAAATGGCTTAAAAGATACATATCGCTAATAGATTGTGGTATCAAATTCAACTGATGCGATGCTTAATGCAATCAGCCCTAGCAGCAGCCCTACTCACTCTGTTTTCCAAAATGAAAGTTCTGTCATACTTGTTGCTAAACAGTTTTTTGGGGTAATGATATTGACCTTAAAATGTTTTTTAAAGAAATAAAGACTATTCTAGCCGAAATAAAACAAATTAGACTTTCTCCAGAAGAAAAAATATTATAGGAAAAACTGTGAAAAATTCCTTGCTTTGTTAAACATTATTTGGGAAATATTTGAAAAAGAATAAAATTCACAGGAGTGTGAATAATTTTGATAGCTGTATCTTTTTATGCACAACAGAAAAGAACACATTGAGGGATGAGATAATGATACCAAAACTTTAATTTTTAGGTTTACTATCAGTGGTATACATGCAACTTAATAATGTATTATGCATCATTAAACTTTTAGTTCAAATGGGTGGTTATTAAATTAAAGTTTAATTACATTCATTTTATTTAGATATTAATAAATGTAATATTTAGGGATAGTTCACCCAAAATTTAATTACCTCATAATTTATTCTCTGTCATGTGGTATCTTTTTGTGTAAAAAAAAAAAAAAAAAAGGTTTCGAACAAGTGATGGGTGAGTAAATGATGATAGAATTTTCATTTTTGGGAGGACTATCTATTTAATGTAAACTGTGATTGGCAAAAAAATATAAGCAGGAATTGGCAATTAAAATTAATAATTTTTTTTTTCTGACACTCAACCTGAGATACAGTTTACACACCTCTTGCAAAATAAATAAAACTATAATGATTTAAACCAAATATTAGAGATTGTATAATTTTTTTTTTTAGTTTTGTACTATGCCGCATTAGGGCTATGCGATTATAGTAAATGCAATATACCGTCGCATCATCCAAGTGGATGCTGCACACTGGTGGTGGTGTGGAGAGAACCCCCCTCATGATTGTAAAGCACTTTGGTGTATGGCCATACATGATAAACGCACTATATGAATACAAATTACTTTAGAATATAGAGACGTGATCAATTTTATTCATAAATTTATGTTATGCATTTTATGCGTTTATCTAAATTTAATGATGAGCTTCACAGCCAATCACAGTCATTTCTGTTGAGCACATGAACACAATGGTAAATCAGCGCTGCTTAAGAACGTGCTCAACAGCGCTCAAATGTTAGCAGGAAATGGACGTTTTTAAAATTTCAGAACCAATCGGTACCGAATTCCAGTATCGTGACAACCCTATTCTTAACCCTGTGAGCGGCACACAGTTTTTTAGATGGTTTGGGTTGTTTAACCATGTTTGATGGGTTGTTTTCCATCTTTCTGTCAGACCTCAATCACAGACTCTGACTTCAACCTGGAGCCGAACTGTCTGTCGCGCTGCAGCACTGAACTCTTCTCTGAGGCCAGCTGGGAACAGGTGGACAAGCAGGACACTGAGGTATGCATTCTCATTGTTTTTCAAGCATCTTCAATCTACTTGATAAACAAATTACTCTGCTTTTCTTAATTGATTTATCCAGAGCTGTTGAATTATTGTAGAGTATTTAAACAAGTACATTATAAGTAACTGTAATTACCCGAAAAAGAAAATAATCCGTTACTGCCAAAAAGTAATCTAATTACAGTAACTAGTTACTTTGTAACTAATGGCCCATTTCCACTGAGTGGTATGGTACAGTTCGGTACGGGTCTCCTTTATCAGGCTTGTGTGTGCACTGCCAAAGGGTACCAATGGTACCTGCAGTCAGAGCAAACCTCTCATCTGCATCTTTAATCTTCACCAGCACATGCAACCTCTGTTTAAGAGTAATTCCGTCATTCCCAGTTCATAATAGTCCAAAACGGGATGATAATAGTTAAACATGTCACTTTATTCAAGTTTTAGGTTGTTGAAAGAATCATTTGCTCCTTTGTTTTTTGGCACTTCCCTCTTGCGTTTGTTTGTTTCTGAAAGGATGCCAGAAGCACTTCAATAATGACGCACACGTTATTATAATGAGCTTAAGTTCGTTGTTTCTAATATAGACGTGCGGTGAGTTCATGCAAGCTCTCTGGAGAAGATGAAACCGCTTTAGTTTAGACCACACGTGTCAAACTCAGTTCCAAAAGGGCCGCAGCTCTGCACAGTTCAGTTCCAACCCTAATTAAACACACCTGATCAAACTAATTGAGTCTTTCAGGCTTGTTTGAAACCTACAGGTAAGTGTGTTGGAGCAGGGTTGGAACTAAACTGTGCAGGGCTTCGGCCCTCCAGGAATTGAGTTTGACACCCCTGATTTAGACGGTCTTGTAAATAACAACAGGACACATGCAGATTCAGTTCTTCTTGTCTTTGTGGCTTTTCATTAGGACGATGACAAGGTTTATTTAAGATTGGGCCGACCATGACTTGTTATTATATGTATATAGAATTACGATGTAATGTCTCGGCTGTGTATTAAAAAATGTTGCTTCCTGTGTTTTAATTCTCCTGGCTTGTGTATGCGCTGGTGACGATTCTTTTCAAACCAATGGCATTCAGCTGCACGTTTTTTCCCGCCTTTTGGTTCCCTTTTGTTGTGCTAGGTACCCTTTGGAAAGGGCATCCAAAAAGTGGTATGGTATGTGTTACATATTGAGTAACATTATTTTGACAATGCTAGTGTCTATTGTTCCTGTGTGTGTTGTATCCTCTATTACAGGGCTGCTCTATCCTGTTCCTGGAGATCTACCTTCCTGCAAAACGCAGCTCTCACCCTGATCAAACACACCTGAACCAATTAATTAGGACCTGAACAGCACTTGATAATTACAGGCAGGTGTGTTTGAAATGGGTAGCAACTGAAATCTACAGGAAGGTAGATCTCCAGGAACAGGATTGAGCACCCCTGCTCTATTATCTGTCACTTTGGCTGCGTTCGAAACCGCATACTTCCATACTATATAGTACGCCAAAATCAGTATGCGAGCCGAGTAGTATATCCGAATTCATAGAATTCGAAAATCGGTAGGCGAGAAGTACCCGCATGACTTACTACTTCCGGCGAGATTCCGGAGTGCGCATCCCATGCATGCTGCGCTATCCCATGATGCCCCGCGAGCGAATTCATGAATGGAAGTAAACTGACGCAGGTAGGTCACGTGACCATGACAAAATGGTGGATGTAGTACATCCGAATTCCATTCATACTTTTCACGTTCATACTGTATAGAACGTACTTTTCTAACGGCCGAGTAGTACGTTTAAATTCAAATGCAGTACCTACCGAGTAGTAGGCGGTTTCGGACGCAGCCTTTCTCTCCACATGAGCGGAGATCAGGTGCAGCTGTGAGAGGGGCGGCGCCAGTTATAAAAACACGCTGTTGGCGCTGCTCAATCTCTTCCTATTTCCCCTTGCTGTTGTGTGTGTGTGTGTGTGTGTGTGTGTGTGTGTGTGTGTGTGTGTGTGTGTGTGTGTGTGTGTGTGTGTGTGTGTGTGTGTGTGTGTGTGTGTGTGTGTGTGTGAGAGCAGATCACTCTGAGTTCTCTGTGTGGCAGTCATCTTTTTCTGTCTGAAACCTTTTTCCAAAGTAATCTGGTGAGATACTCTGTTAAATACGGTAATAGGACGGTAACTTGCATTAGCGGTGGCTGATCGTTTATTTCCTGTCTACATCCCAGTTTCAAAGTCATCTGGTGAGATACTCTGTTAAATACGGTACTAGAACGGTATTCTGTGTTAGCTGTGGCTAAATGTTTACTTACTGCTGAATGATCAAAGGGAAGGCCCTTTTTCTTTTGTCCTGTTTTCTCATGTTTAATGGATAGTTATGGAGGGTAGAATTGTATGTTTTATTTACGGAACTTTATTTTCGGGTTAGGTAAGAAATTTAATATTAGGAATCGTACCTTGTTTTGTTTGTTGTTTTGGCTTGTTTGTTCCCTGATTCTGATACTGATATATTTGTTTAATAAATCTGTTATCCCTTTTGACAACTTGGCCTGTGTGTGTGAGTGCTTGGGGAAAAGGAACGTTGACTCCGGGTGACCTCTTTTAACAGCGGTCATCCTTAACCTTATGTGCGTAGCGAGGTGCATCCGCTACGTAACAGTATGCTTTGCTTTTTGGTACCTTTTGACAGTGGAAACGGACATAAAAGCGTACCGAACCGTATCGTACTGTACCACTCTGTAGAAACAGGCCATAATTACACCCAACATTGGTAATATAACTAGGGACAGACAGAATCAGCAGACAGATTTTTTGCTAATTCTGCACAGAATTTTGTAAACAAAAATCTGCTGATTTATGTGCAATGATTTAAGGAGTATTATTACTAAACACCTAATATATTAAATCAAAATAATATATTTTAAACTGTTATTTAATGTTTACAATGCAACTGTAATTACATCTACTTAATTGGTAAACAAAGCAAGTCTCTAAAAAAATATATCTACTAAAAGACAGAAAATATGACTGTACAAACTGTATTGAGAATAAATGATATGAACATTTTCATATTTGTCAATAATAATATTTCTGATATTAATTTAAAAACTGAATAAAACTAATTCATTTTCACACATTTACACAATTAAATAAATAGACTTATTGATGGGCTGTAAATCTGCGGATTTCTACATGCTCAGATTCTCTGTGGACCCAATAATAAGCCAGTAGTTAATAGCATGAATTGTGACCTAAACTAAAGTATTACCCTTTAATCTGTATCCTCAACAAACAGTCCTAAATGTGTATGTCAGACTTTGGTTTATTTATTTAGAGCCTAATGTTGATTTTTTTTTTTCAGGTGACCCGGTGGTACCCGGACCATCTGGCTGCTCAGTGCTACGGCTGTGAGAGAGGATTCTGGCTGGCCACTAGAAAGCACCACTGCAGGTAAAACAAGACAACATCACACACTGACACACATACACTATCTGACAAAAGTCTTGTCATCGATCCCAGTTATAGGAGCAACAAATAATAACTTGACTTCTAGTTGATTGTTGGAAAAGTGGTAGAAGTAGATTTTTCTGATGAATCATCTGTTGAGCTGCAACACAATCATCACTAATACTGCAGAAGACCTACGGGAACCCACATGGAGCCAAGATTCTCATAGAAATCAGTCAAGTTTGGTGAAAGAAAAATCATGGTTTGGGGCTATATTCAGTATGTGGGTGTGCGAGAGATCTGCAGAGTGGATGATCAACATCAACAGCCTGAGGTATCAAGACATTTGTGCTGCCCATTACATTACAAACCACAGAAGAGGGCAAATTCTTCAGCAGGATAGCGCTCCTTCTCATACTTCAGCCTCCACATCGAAATTCCTGAAAGCAAAGAAGGTCAAGGGTCTGCAGGATTGGCCAGCCCAGTGACCAGACATGAACATTATTGAGCATGTTTGGGGTAAGATGAAGAAGGAGGCATTGAAGATTAATCTAAAGAATCTTGATGAACTCTGGGAGTCCTGCAGGAACGCTTTCTTTTCCATTCCAGATGACTTTACTAATAGGTGATATGAGTCATTGCAGAGATGTATGGATGCAGTCCTCCAAGCTCATGATGGAGTCAGACACAATATTCATTCTGTTTCCACTGCAGCATGACTTTATATTATATACTGGACATTATCTCTGTTCAGTGACAAGACTTTTGTCTAAGCAAAGTCAGGCTTTACTCTCCTAATTAAATAATTTAAAATCAAGACATGATTATATTTTATTGTGGTAAAATAAGCGTAATATAGAGGCCTTTCCCTTTCATATAAGCCACTTCTGATACCAAATGATCAACTAGAAGTCAAGTTATTATTTGTTGTTCCTAAAAGTTGGATTGGCGACAAGACTTTTGTGAGGTAGTGTAGAATAGAATATAATAGATTTATATTATCATTGTCACAAGTAAAAAACAATTAAAAAAAGTTCTCTCCAGTTAGTGCAACAATCATTTTGTCTAAATAAAAAAAATGAAGTGCTTAACTTAATCGAATAAAGTGTAAAAAAAAAAAAAAATGTCATATATATATATATATATAAACATACATCTCTACACACTTCTCATCTCTCTTAATTTATCTAGTTTCTCAACATGCACCTCTTCTAGAGTCAGATACATTAACGTTGACTTTCCTTCACTTCTTTTGAGGACCTTGTTTTGTTGTTCTTTTTTCCTCTAAAATTCCTCCGGTCATTCAGTAAACAGAGATGTTTGGCGAAATGTTTCATGATTGGTTCCAAACTCATTACCGCAGCATTTGTAAACACTGCAGATTAAATAAACTACCCAACTGTGTAGACTAGTTCAACATGGGCAACTGAACACTCTTGAGTAAACATCACAACACTAATGTGGGAACACAGAACTGAGAGTCACAGAATGAAATATGGTTTCTTATTTGAGTAATGTAAATATCAGCTGATTATTAGTTTTTAACAGCAGAACGATCTGTTTTAGCTTCTACAGGGTCTCTTAATAGTAGCAGAAATGGACACTCACAAGCAGTATCAGGCACTTAAAGTTATTAAATATAGTTACTAATAACTCATCACTGAGTTAGTTACTGAATTCATCATTTTAAATGTAACCAATTACTAGGAAAAGTAACTTGTATATTACATCATTATAAAAGTAACTAAGTAACTGTGCTTTTTAAAAATTGCACCCAATATAACCTGCTGTACGTTGAATAAAATTGACACTAAATTAAACAAATTATCGTCCCATTTGCTGTTTCAAATTCTTTTGATTTTATTTAGGTGCTGCTTGTTAATCAGACAACGCTTTTATGTTCGTTCTTACTGTCAGTTGAGGAAAAAATGATTGATTAATGTGTCATGATAAATCGCTGTGAATGTAACTGCAGGCGCTGCGTGATGTGCGTGCACGAGAAGGGAATCAGGGAGTCAGATTTGTCTGGGGAGTCAGATTTTGATACAGCTTTCCTTCACCATCTCTTGCGGGTTGGTCTACCAGTTTGTGCTATGCACTGGTGACTACTAACTGAATAGAGTAGGAGCACACAGTTATGTTTGGTTAAATAAGTTGCAGATAAAATTTACGTTTTGAAACCGCCCAAGTTTTGTTAAACCATCTATGCCAATTTTACCCGCATAATCAAATTCAAAAACCACCCAATCTGGCAACACTGACCTCAAAAGATGGAGAAGAGGATAAAGGATGCCCTTTATTGGAATTCTTTTACACCACTAATAAAAAAATTGTCATTGTAGAGCTGAAAAATCTCCAAATTCGTTTTTAATATATTGAAATATGTAATTTCGCATGCATCAAATAAATGTTACAATATTACGTATTGCGTTATAAAATATTACGATTCCAATGAATAATTCTAGGGGGGTAACAGATCACGGTTGAACCATGATTGAACCATGATCAGTTCAGAACACACATGACCCGCGGATTAATACATTGTTTTTTACAATCACAGAGAGATCGCCTCTCGTGTCATTCAGATCACATGTATGAAAGCATTTCATAGGCTTTCTGTAAAATATAATGATGATGGAAGAAGTTGTGGTAGGCTATTCGGGATGTGGAGGGTTTCTTAGGTTATTAAAGGTGTTTTCTGTCACTACTTGTTTAGCCTGACTCAATTCATTTATTGTAAGCTGCACGATTAATCATTAAAGGATCTCAACACCCACTCAACCTAATCCTAAGTCTTAAGTATTTTGAGTTAGTTCTGAAGTTACAGTCAAATAAGTACTGGGAAAACAGTTTATAGTTCAGATGAAACCACTGATGTTTATGGTAAAGATTAAAATCACCGTTAGCCACGTGCACACATAGGGCTCAACCTGTGCAGTGCACATGCCCTTTTTAGTCTTGGATAGAAAATGCCCTTCCAAAATGATCAAAAGTGCCCCCGCGACGCGGCACACCTTCGGTCCCGCCCTTCAGTAGGCGCGCGACAACACCGCTCTTGAGTACGCGCGTGACAACACAGCTGATCAGTACTCGCGCGATAACACCGCTCTTCAGTATGCGCGCACCCCACCCCCCCCGCTCTTCAAAAATTTCTCCTGCGCATGCCCTTTGGATAGTCTCTGCACGGGCCTGATCACCGTCATATGCGTTTAACTTGATGCTCAAAAATGAAAGTTGTAGGCAGCAATTACATTCTTTAACCAATGATGGCGACAATCAGTCAAGTTTTATGAGTGGAAAAACTGAATCATTTATTAAAAATGGGAGTAAAAAATAAATATGGGCTCTACAAATTATAATGTTAGATTTCTACATTTAGAATTTATAATTCTGAATATTTTACAGTTTATTTTTTATTCGGCTGATTATTTCTTCGTTTTAATTTAAATTACATTACAGGTTCTCAGTTCTGTTTGTTAAAACTAAAAATGTATTGCAAAGCTGTTTTTATAATAAATGGAAAGCAAATTACATTCGTCTCCTCTTTTTGGCTGATCCAACAAATGGTCCGATTCGTGACTAAAGAACCATAATGTGATCCGAACCGTGAGATTTGTGGTCCGTTACACCACTAAATAATTGTAATCATTCTCAAAATTGATTATTTGATTTAAATATATAATTTACATGCATAAAAAAATGTATACACCAGATAAAAAACAGCTGCATTTTGCCATTTTAGAGCTGCAAAAAAAACTTAACAAGCCCAACTTAACTTTCAAAATAACTTCAACTGGATTTGACTGAAAAAAGTCATTTACACCTTGGATGCCTTGAGGGTGAATAAACCCGATACATATTTATTCATTTTTTGTGAAATAATGCTTTAAGAAGCATCCAAATGTGCTCACAAATATTGCGTAATAGCTTGGACCATTACTGTGACAGACAGACTGTCTTTCTGAAGTTCTTTTCTGTAGCAAAGTCCTGTTTGCGGTCTTCATCTCCATCTGCCATTTTTCAATGTATTCTGGCATTAGAAAGCGGCTTTAGAGTTTGGCCAGTGAAGCCTTCAGCTGTTTTCTGGTTAGATATGAACTCCTAGAAGTTAAAGCTGCTTTTTCCTCCTGTACCACAGAGGCAAGGAGCGAATGGAGGAGGTTTGGTGAGAATTGCCCTCTCTGTGTCCTTCTCAGGCTCTTGTACGTCCTGTTAACCCTGCATCGCTTCTGAGTGAGCTAACAAAACACCCGTCTCACCCCCAGATCTCCATAGGATTGACTCTCTTTTTTAGTGTTGAGGGGTAGATCTGTACTGGGATTATATTTCATCTTTTGTTTTTTTGCAGGTGAATTTCATCTTAAGAAATTAGTACTTTTATTGAGTAAGGATGCAATAAATTCACCAAAAGTTGTTGTGAAGTAGGACTGAAGAATACAGTGCATCCAGAAAGTATTGATAGCGCTTCACTTTTTCCACATTTGTTTATGTTACAGCCTTATTCCAAAATGGATTAAATTAATTTATTTCCTCAACATTCAACTACACACAATACCCTGTAATGACAATGTGAAAAAAGAATTTTTGAAATTTAATGCAAAGAAAATACCTGCTAAATCACATGTACATCAGTATTCACAGCCCTTGCCGTAAAGCTCTAAATTGAGCTCAGGTTCATTCTGTTTCCACTGATCATTCTAGAGCTGTTTCAGCAGCTTCATTGGAGTTCACCTGTGGTCAATTCAGTTGATTGGACATGATTTGAAAAGGCATTCACCTGTCTATATAAGCTCCCAGGGTTGACACTGCATGTCAAAGCACAAACCAATCATAAAGACAAAGGAATTGTCTGTAGACCTCCGAGGCTGGGGAAGCTTACAGAAACATTTCTGCTGCTCAGAAAGTTCCAATGAGCACAGTGGCCTCCATTATCCATAAGTGGAAGATGTTTAACCACCAGGACTCTTCCTAGAGCTGGCTGACCATCTAAGCTGAGTGATCGGGGGAAAAGAACCTCAGTCAGAGAGGTGATCAATAATCTGATGTTCACTCTGTCTGAGCTCCACCAATCAGGCCTGTACGGTGGAGTGGCCAGAAGGAAGCCACTCCCCACCTGGAATTTGCCAAAAGTGAGGTGTATATGTTCCTCTGTATCGAGTTTCTTCGCTGGTGTTTTTTTTTTTTTTTTTTTTTGAACGCTTCCTTAATGTACAAGTGGTTCATTTTGTGGCAGGAACCGGCGGACGTGCAGCAACTTTAGCCATGAGGTGAACACAAAACAAAACTTTCCATCGGAGCTCCTTCACGGGACTCCACACTTGTAAACAATCGCTCCATCTGGCTTGCATGGCTTTTGGTCACTCCCACACTTATCAGCGCTACCAAGCCGACCAATCACAGAACTTGCGATACGCAACGTTGCAACGTGTAGTTACATTTCTTGAAAGATGCGCGTCAACGACGCCGATGGGCATGGAGAGGGCTATGTGTCCACACAGAGGCCGCGCCGTAGCATGCGCGTGCTTCAAGCAGAAGTATAAATCAGCCTTAATAACTTCCATAAATCAGCATTAATACCAGTGAAGCATGGTGGTGGCAGCATCATGCTGTGGGAATGTTTTTTAGCAGCAGGAACTGGAAGACTAGTCAGGATAGAGGGAAAGATGAATGCAGCAATGAACAGAGACATCCTGAATGAAAACCTGCTTCAGAGTGCTCTTGACCTCAGACTGGGGTGACGGTTCATCTTCCAGCAGGTCAATGACCCAAAGCACACCAACAAAATATCAATGAAGTTATTTCACAACAACTCGTCGAATGTCCTTGAGTGGCCTAGCCAGAGCCCAGACCTAAATCCTATTGAACATCTCTGGAGAGATCTGAAAATGGCTGTACATCGTCACTTCACCACCAACCTGATAAAGCTTGAGAGGTACTGCAAAGAGGAATGGGCAAAAATTCACAAAGACAGGTGAGCCAAGCTTGTGGCATCATATTCAAAAAGACTTGAGGCTGTAATCGCTGCCAAAGGAGCATCAACAAAGTATTGAGCAAAGGCTGTGAATACTGATGTACATCTGATTTTTCAGCTTTTTTATTTAAAATAAATTTGCAACAATTTTAAAAACTCTATATTTCACATTGTCATTATGGGCTATTGTGTGTGGAACTTTGAGGAATTAAATGAATTTAATCCATTTTGGAACAAGGCTGTAACATAAAAAATGTGCTATCAATACTTTCCAGATGCACTGTATATCATTTAAGCATCGATATCGCAATGAGTGTATCTGCAATAATCCCATCGCAGGATTAAATTATTTATTAAAGATTGAAAGGTAAAGATATTATTTAAAAAATATTATTATTTATTCAATCCTGACCATGTTATTTAACATTTGATTGTTCAATTTCTGTACATAAATAAACCATAAAGTTTTCTGTACAGTATGTCTATATATTAAAAATTAATATATATATATCGTGGCAAAACAAAATATAGCAATGTCAGATTTTTCCAATATCGTGCAGCCCTACTGTGAAGACCATTATACAATGGTACAAATTAGAGCTGAATGTTATATAAAAACATATCATCATCACGATAATAGCATGTGCAATATCCATGTCACAGAGAAGTGCAATAAATGAAATTAGTTGTACTTGCTAAAACTGCTTTTGTAGATTTGTGAACCCACTTCAGTGTTTCATACGTTTTCTATCATTAAAAACGACAACTATACACGTCTATACACTTTACGTTGACTATACATGTCATTTTAGACATTTACGGCTATTCCCTTTTGTGAAAGGTTTTAGTTCCTCTGTTTACATGTGAAATGTGTTCATACAGAACCGGCTCTGGTTTGTAAATTAGGCTCGCGCTAATGATGTTGATAGTTTGTGAAATGTACCTGCTGTCTGATCGTATTCCACTTTGGAAAGTGCAGTGGAGTTTAAAAGTCAAGTGGAGGTTGATCGTAAAGCTCTCTTCTCTCTGTCCATGCAGTTGTGCATGTGTGTGTGTGTGTTGGTAACACATGAAGGGCTGCATGAGTGTGTGTTTTGTGTGTAACACACAGCAGCATATGGCTCATCTGTTGATGCACCTCTGGTTTGTGATCAATTGTCTGTTTTGTTGCATGTTTCTGGCCTTCGTTTCATCCAGACCTGAAGAAGCCCCTTCACCCTTGACCCTTTAACACTGTTTGTTTCCTGTTCAGGATTTGATTGAGTATTGTTTATGTAATTAATTCATGTAGATATTTTGTTTCTTCCAAAAAAATGTTTTATATCAGTACATTTAAAATATGATTATTCTAATGAATTGTCAAAATAGTTTTTTTTTATATTGAAATAATAATTTTGCTTGCATTTGATAAAAAAAATATCTTATCAGTTTATCCCAAATTTGAAATAAGATTCTAATGAATATTTATCATATTTAAATATGTAATTTATATACATCAAATTAAAATGCAAATAATTATTATCAAATCAGTGTTTAGTTTGTATGAACTTAGATCTTTATACAATTAATACATGACAAATAAATAATATATACTTATAGTTTATATTTGTGATTTTTTTTTTTTCTCGTTAGTTTTTAAAATCGGACTTTACTAGGTATATTATCATTATCAGATGATACATATCAGGTATGCTACTATTTTACTTTAGTTTTCAATTTTATTGAAGGATAGAATAAATAAATAAGTAAATAAATTAATATTATTTGTGCTTTGTTAATATTCAGTTTTGATCAAATCATTAGTGCAATATTGATAGGTGGAAAATTTAAGAAAATTATGCGGTGCATTCAGTTTTAATGCATTCTTAATTATTAGACAAATTGGAAAAAATATAAATAATATGGTTTCATTTTTATAAATTTTTTTTCCATATTTTATTCATCTTTGTTTACAATTTGTTTATTATATTTTACGAAATGATCTCAGTCTAACATTATTTAGTCGTTCCAAATAGAGATATTTAAGTTATCTGGTGAAATTTATATTCATATCGTAATATATATAATGGCAGAAAAACAAAAAAAAATCGCATTGTCAGTATTTGTCAATTATCATGCAGCCATAAGTCTTACTTATTCTTCAATTCAATCAGTCCAAAAATATTTTATTATTATTTTAATTTCAAAATGGAAATGTGCCATAATTATGTGCTAAAAATGTACTACAAATAACAAAATATACACTCACCGGCCACTTTAATAGGTACACCTTACTAATACTGGGTTGGACCCCCTTTTATCTTCAGATTTGTCAGCTGCACAAACATGATGCTAATCTCCCGTTCCACCACAACCCAAATGTGCTCTACTGGATTGAGTTACGGTGACTGTGGAGGCCATTTCAGTACAGTGAACTCATTGTCATGTTCAAGACACCAGTCTGAGATGATTCGTGCTTTGACATGGTAGTAGCTGGAAGTTGCCATCAGAAGATGGGTACACTGTGGTCATAAAGGCATGGACATGGTCAGCAACAATACTCGGGTAGGCTGTGGTGTTGACACGATGCTCAATTGGTGCTAATGGGCCCAAAGTGGGCCAAGAACATATCCCCCACATCATTACACCATCAGCAGCCTGAACCGTTGATACAAGGCAGGATGGATCCATGCTTTCATGTTGTGACACCAAATTCTGACCTGACCATCCGAATGTGGCAGCAGAAATCGAGACTCATCAGATCAGGCAACATTCCAATTTTGGTGAGCCTGTGTGAATTGTAGCTTCAGTTTCCTGTTCTTAGCTGACAGGAGTGGCACCCGGTGTGGTCTTCTGCTGCTGTAGCCCATCTGCCTCAAGGTTGGACGTGTTGTGTTCAGAGATGCTCTTCTGCAGACCTCGGTTCTAACAACGTGTTATTTGAGTTACTGTTGCCTTTCTATCAGCTGGAACCAGTCTGGCCATTCGCCTTTGACCTCAGCAAGGCATTTGCACCCACAGACCTACCACTCACTGGATAGTTTTTCAGTAAACCAATGACTGTAAAAAATATGGACGACGCGACAGCCCTTTTTCCCATTGAACGCCTTGAGGGCAAAACGCCTGCTTGACGGGCACAAACTGTCGCAAAAGACTGCTGAAATTGGAGCCTTGACATGCGCAGAAGGACTGACTGATGGAGCCAGAGGAGGAGCCGCGAAAATGAGCGGAGTCGAGCTTCCAACCAAACTCTTTATGTAAAATCAACCACGCCCCCCGAACTTCTCAGCATGCGTTTGCTGTCATATCAACACAAATGGATGTAATAACGTTAACAAATATGAGGGTTTTATATATTCAATCGCGCCAGCTCCAGGCCGCAGCGCATAACTTACTCGCGGCGTCGCGGGCTGATTCCGGCTCGCATGCGGCAGCGCCGGCTCGCTCGGCCGCCGCATCTGGCTCGATTGACTCGGGCTGGAATTGGGTAGTGAGTCCAGGCATCCGGAGTAGGTCCAACAGAGGTAACGTTAGTCAGTCTGCGCTCTAAGAGATAAGTCTCCGGCAGGCGAGAATCTAGCCGGAACTGTGTTTTGCTATCTGGGTGGCTAGGCGTGTATCAGCAAACTAATAAAGCCCGAAAAAAGCCCTGAACTTAGCGAATAAACAGTGTTCCACCAGGATCATGTATGTCAGAAACTATAGTTTACTGCTGAACTCATTTTGTCATGGTAAAATAACACAGAAATCGAATAATAACACTTCAGTCTACTTCAGTCTCCTGCCGAAGCTCAGACGCCGCGCTTTGAGAAACTGTCAATCACAGCTGTCAATCACGATGACACGCCCAGCATTAAATTACTGCTAAAAACAAACTGTTTACAAAAATGAAGATCTGCACCTATTTCAGCACAATAACCAGTGCCTTAATCGACCAGAACCATCTTTCGGGATATTTTATTGCAAGTGTAATATTTTTTTTTATTTGGGCTCAAGTCTCCTTCATTAACACGGAGGAGGCGGGCTTTATGACTTGTACTGCAGCCAGCCCCCAGGGGGCGATCTAACGGCCGAGACCCTCACTCAAACGCAGGCTTGCGGCACACTTGCAGTAAACCCTAGAGATGGTTGTGCGTGAAAATCCCAGTAGAGCTGCAGTTTCTGAAATACTCAGACCAGCCCGTCTGGCACCAACAACCATTCCATGTTAAAAGTCACTTAAATCACCTTTCTTCTCCATTCTGATGCTCGCTTTGAACTGCAGCAGATCGTCTTGACCATGTCTACATGCATTCAGTTGCTGCCATTTGATTGGCCGATTATGAATTTGCGCTGTTAGACAGGTGTACCTAATAAAGTGGCCGGTGAGTGTATGTCCACTTTGAAATGCACAGAAATATTCATTTTTAAAATAGGGTGTACTCGTTTACGCTGTGACTGTATATAACTTTAGTTATATCCACAATACTATTACATTCTTGAGGAAATAAAATGTCTTATTCTAGGCAGCTCTGCTTTAAACACTAAAGGTCTACAAATCTACAGAAAGCACTAACTATGTTGTGTTATTTGTGGTGTGCAGGAACTGTGGGAACGTGTTCTGCGGGAGCTGCTGCGATCAGAAGATCCCGGTGCCGAGCCAGCAGCTGTTTGAGCCCAGTCGAGTGTGCAGGTCGTGTTTCAGCAATCTGCAGCCGCCAGCGCCCCCTCTGGACCTGGAGCTGGACAAACCCATCACCGCCAGCTCCAACTGACCCACGGCAGCCTGCAAAATAACCCAAAAAAGAGACCCAAGCGCTTTCTTTCCCGCCCTAAAGGAAAGGGAATCATGTGTATATACATAAATATATATATATATATATATATGGCAGGAGGAGCTGGCGTTTGCGGATCAGACTCTTTTGCGATGAAACTTGTCCTGTACCTGCTGCATAGAGGGACTTTTGTTTTGTTTTTCTCCAAGCAAGATTTTTCTTCCCTCGTCATCTCACAAGAAAGTAGATTTATCAGTGTGAACGGTGCTGTTGGGACGAGACCCCCACAAAAAAAAAAAAAATCCTGGCTTCATTTTTCGTTTCTTTTTCCGAGGTTGCACACGTGATTCTGGATGCCACAGCGTTCGGACTTCAGAACGCATCGAATTATTATTATTATTACTACAGACTATTGGTTAGTTATTCCAAAACATGTTGACAGGAAGTGACGTCAGCACTAGAGGGCGCTCTTGTCTTTCAGATCTGCTGGTTTTAGACGCGACGTTCTCACTAAAGCGTTTTTTTTTGTAACATAAATGCGAGACAAATGAGATAATATATTAGAATGATATACGAATGAGACATATAGCATTTAAGATGAGAAATTGTATAGAATTCTTGAATAGTGGCTCACTAAATTAGTCACCAACTATAAGTTGTGTTGTTTTTGTCCCCCAGTTGTAGCCATTTGGGGTTTGTTTTCCTTTTTTTTTTTTTGTAAATGTATTTCTTTTTGCGTTTCGTTCATTTGTCCAAACAGACGGATGGAAATGTTGTATGCGATGCTGCGTTTGGGCCCCAGATGGTGTTTTTGATATTTTGGCTCTCGACTCTTATTTATTATCAAGTTTTTTTTTGTTTGAATTGTATGTTCAAGCTTGACAATTGACAACACAGAGGATAATCAGTGTTGATGGAAGACATTGCACTGAAGAGATCAGAGAAAAGACGCACAAATTCACAGTCATGCTTTTCTTTTTTGTTTGGCTTCCCATTTTACTCACTTTTTGAATAAATCAGATCACGTTTGGAGGATAATTCTCTCCAAGACTTGATTTCATTTCGTCCCCAAACAAACGTCTTTTTCAGTGCAGAACGAGAATTATAGAGGATTTCAAAGCAACTTTTGAGAGAGGTGTTGAGAGAGCTCTGACTTAAAAAATATATATAATTATATAATATAAAATCACTCTCTTTTTTTCTTTTTTTTTTTTGCTTCTCATTTTATTCAATTTTGAATAAATCAGATCAGTTTTTGAAGATTAATTCTCATATACTTGCTTCCATGTCTTCTAAAATAGCTTTTTTTCTGTTCAGAATGAGAACTATTTGTACAATGGCGTTGAGTTGAATGGTGTTGCTCCTCTTAAATTTTTTAGAGCTTGAAAGAAAGTCAAGAAAAACAAATGGAAAAAAAAAAAATATATATATATATATATATATATATATATATATATATATATATATATATATAGCCACGAAATGGCAAAACCCCAGGTAAATAATGAAAACTTTTTTTTTAATTGTGGTTCAAGCTTGACAAATCGTCCACTCACAGAGGATAATCAGTGTTGATGGAAGACATTGCACTGAAGAGATCGGAGAAAAGACGCACAAATTCAGTCATGCTTTTCTTTTTTGTTTGGCTTCCCATTTTACTCACTTTTTGAATAAATCAGATCACGTTTGGAGGATAATTCTCTCCAAGACTTGATTTCATTTCGTCCCCAAACAAACGTCTTTTTCTGTGCAGAACGAGAATTATAGAGGATTTTGAAGCAACTTTTGAGCGAAGTGTTGAGAACTTTTTAAAGCTCAAACTTTTAAAAAAAATTATTTTAGAGTTTAATGGAAAAAGAAATTGGACGCACAAAATCACTCTCACTTTTTTTTATTCAGCTTCCCAGTTTTTGACTTTTTGAATAAATCGGGTCAGTTTTTGGAGGTTAGTTCTATCAAAGTCATTAACTTGCTTTCATGTCTTCCCAAATTGCTTTTTTCTGTTCAGAATGAGAACTATTTGTACAATGGCGTTGAGTTGAATGGTGTTGCTCCTCTTTTATTTTTTAGAGCTTGAAAGGAAGTCATTGATTTATAGACAAACACACACATATATATATATATATATATATATATATATATATATATATATATAGCCACGAAATGGCAAGATTTCATTTGATCCCCAAACAAACATCTTTTTCTGTGCGAAATGAGAATTACAGAGGATTTCAAAGCAACTTCTGAGAGAGGTGTTGAGAGAGCTCTGACTTAAAAAATATATATATATTTTGGAATTTAATGGAAAAGAAATTTGACGCACAAAATCACTCTCATTTTTTTTTTTTTTTTGCTTCTCATTTTATTAAATTTTGAATAAATCAGATCAGTTTTTGAAGATTAATTCTCATATACTTGCTTTCATGTCTTCTAAAATTGCTTTTTTTCTGTTCAGAATCAGAATGAGAACTATTTGTACAATGGCATTGAGTTGAATGTGTTGCTCCACTTTTTTTTTGTTTTTAGAGCTTGAAAGAAAGTCAAGAAAAACAAATGGAAAAACATATATATATATATATATATATATATATATATATATATATATATATATAGCCACGAAATGGCAGGGCCCCAAGTAAATAATGAAAACTTTTTTTTAATTGTGGTTCAAGCTTGACAAATCCTCCACTCACAGAGGATAATCAGTGTTGATGGAAGACATTGCACTGAAGAGATCGGAGAAAAGACGCACAAATTCACAGTCATGCTTTTTTTTGTTTGGCTTCACATTTTACTCACTTTTTGAATAAATCAGATCACGTTTGGAGGATAATTCTCTCCAAGACTTGATTTCATTTCGTCCCCAAACAAACGTCTTTTTCTGTGCAGAATTTTTTTTCTTTTTTTTTCTTTTTACAAAGGCTCTGAGTTGAATGGTGTTGAGAGCTCAGACTTTTTGAAAACCTTCTTTATAGAGTTTAATGAAAAAAGAAATTGGATGCACAAAATCACTCTAACATTTTTTGTTTGTTTAGTTTGGCTTCTCATTTTATTCACATTTTTAATAAATCAGATCAGTTTTTGCAGGTTAATTCTCTCAGTCATTTACTTGTGTTCATGTCCCAAATTAGTTTTTTCTGTGCAGAATGAGAATTATTGAGATTTTCGAAGCTACTTTTTTTGTGTAATAGCTTTGAGTTGAATGGTATTACTTGTCTTTTTTTAATTATAATTTTTTAGAGCTTGAAAGGAAGTGACTGACCCCAAGTAAATAGTGATTTTTTTTTAATCGTATGTTCAAGCTTGACAATTGATCAACACACAGAGGATAATCATTGTTGATGGCGTGAGCTGGACTGTAGAGATTGGAGAAAAGACGCACAAAATCCCAACCATGCTTTTTTTTTTCTTTTTTTTTTTGATTATTAATTTGACTTCCCATTTTATTCACTTTTGGGTCCTCACAAAGTCATTTACTTGCTTTCATGCCATCCCAAAACAACTTTATTGTCCTGTGCAGAATGAGAATTACTGAGAATTTTTGCAGCAACATTTTTGGTCTAAAGCAGGGGGTGTCCAAACTCAGTCCTGGAGGGTCGGTGTGTCCTGCATATTTTAGTTCCAACCCCAATTAAACACACCTGAACCAGCTAATCAAGCTCTTTCTGAGTATACTAGAAAGCTCCAAGCAGGTGTGTTGAGTTAGTTAAGAGCTAAACTATGCAGGACACCGGCCCTCCAGGACCGAGTTTGGAGACCCCTGATCTAAAGGCTTCGAGTTGAATGGTGTTGCTTGTCTTTGTTTATTTTTATTATTTTATTAGAGCTTTAAAAGGAAGTTACTAAGTTTAAACCTCTTTTTTTAGTTCATGAAAAAAGAAATAAATATATATATATA